AACCTACTTGTGTTTTATTTTTAACTCCCTATTTCCCCCTCTTCAGTCATGGTATGCAATCAATTACCATAAACCTTACTTGGGATACAGTGTCAGTGTGCCTGCATTGTTTAACCAATTAAATATCGAGCATTTTACCCCCTTCCTGCCCAGGCCATTTTTCAGGTTTCAGCGCTCTCACACATTGAATGACAATTGCGCGGTCATACAACATTGTCCCCAAACTAAAATTGTATCATTTTCTTCACACAACTAGAGCTTTCTTTTGGTGGTATTTAATCACCGCCGGGGTTTTTATTTTTTGCTAACAAAAAGACTGAAAATTAAAAAAAAAAAAAAAAAACCAAAAAAAAAAAAAACACGTTTTTCTTTGTTTCTGTTATAAAAGTTTGCAAATTAATAATTGTTCTTCATAAATTTAGGCCAAGATGTATTCTGCTACATGTCTTTGGTGAAAATAACCCAAGTTAGGATGTATTTTTTAGTTTGTAGGAAAGTTATAGAGTTCACAAGCTATGGTATAGATCTGAATATTGATCAGTCCTGAAGTACTGACAGCCAATCTAATTTCTTGAGGTCCAAGAATGTCAGAATAGTACAGATATCCCCAAATGACCCCTTTTTGCAAAGTAGATAGTCCGACATACTTCATAAGAGGCATGGCGAGTTTTTTGAAGTTGTATTTTATTTGTCATAATTTTTCGGAAAAAGTGAAAATAAATAATTTTTTTTTTTTTTCAATTTTTTATTTACATACTGTCACCAGTGCAGTACAGTGTCATCATATAACTGGCATGGCGGTGATCAGGGACACTGACTGGTGACAGTGTGAAAAAAAAAAAAATACATTTTTTATTTTAAATTTTTTATTACTTTTTTTTTTTTTTTTTTTAGATTTTTTCATATTTCACTGTGTCCAAAGTAGTACAATGTTACCATAATAACATTGTACTACTTTGGGGAAGTGATCAGTTTTTTTTTTTTTTTACACAATTTGCTTATAGCAAAGAATTACTTTGCTACAAGCAAGCATTTACCTGAATGACATCGATTCATTCAGGGTTTTTTTTTTTGGTGCTTAGCTGTGATTTGGCCACAGCTAATCACATGACATGTGCATGTGATTAACTGTGACCATTCACAGCTAGACACTTAGTATACAATGGATGGCATGAATGAAGCAATCCATTGTATACAACTGTCATGTGACCTGCTGTGATTGGTCACAGCAGGTCACATGGTACCGGCAACAAGGCCGATACTCAGATCGGTCATCGGCCGTCTCCAAGGTACACGGCCGGTGACAGATCGTGCCGCTGCGCGGCTCTGCAAGCGCGTGAACTGCGTATGTGCGGGAGTACGCCATATGGCGGTCTCCTGGAAAGCTAGTGCATTTTTCTGGACGCCATACGGCTATTGGCCGGGCGTCAAATGGTTAAAATGCTTAGCAACCGGTAATTTTTGGGAAATGAATACAGGATTTATGTTGGGATATTCGGTCTTTAATTTTTTTGAGTCATCTCCCCCACATAGTATAATCCACATGGACATTTAAGGATATAGATTACTTATGAACTCTGACATGTGTAAAAGCCCTTATGTCAATTTATTTTCCTGAATAGGGATGTTTAAATTAAGTGCCATTGATCATACTGCAACAATGTACACAGAATAAACAGGAGAAATAACCATTCCTTCTTGGACCTCAACGTTGGTACTCCCATCACCTTATCACTTTGGGATGGGGGGGGGGGTTTAAGTTCCTCAATATCAGGAAAAGCTAATTTTTTTTTCCAATATCTCTTAATTACCCAAATCTGTGTAGAATGGCAGTGATACTAGATAGCAAAAGGAATCCTTTGTTTCGGTTTGTGTTGTCGGCTCACTATCAGTTTTCAGATTCTGTGCTCAGTCTCTCATGGGTTAATGGCTGTGTCGGTTAGCCCCCATCTGCAAACCTGCTTTGCATCTAAGGCTCCATGCACACACTGGGCATTTTAAGAACTCTGGTAACGTTAGATGTGTAGTCACGTTAAACATGTGAGTTTTTCATCATTTCACGTTTAGCGGGTTTTGTGACCCAAAAAAACACAAAAACAAAAAAAAAAAACCTTTTGCTAAAAAAAGGGCAGTCAAAAAATCGTCAGTTTGCTGCTTTTACAGAAAAAAAAAAAAAAAAAAAAAAAAAAAAAAAATCACACCTCTAGAAACCCACTAGTTTTGGGTTATTTTTTCCCAGTCAAAAATCGCCAATGCCAAAAAAACGCTGATAACCGTCTATGTGTGCATGGATACATAGGATAACATGTTGGGGAGTTTACTGGCTGTAGAAAAAAAAAGAAAAGCCAAAAGCCAAAAACAGCAGCTGCAAAAACATCCAGTGTGCATGAAGACTGTCGTTTCTGTCTCACTGGCTCCTCACTCACTATGAAATTTACACGTATTATCTGGCTACAAGGTATGGATTTAAACACTGCTGGTGGGAGACAGCTAGAGTATAGTAATAATTGATTACGGTCAGGTGGTTTCACATATAGATCTGTTAATTCCATCTTTCTTCCTATAAACCCTAACAACCAGAAGAGCACTTCATTTACACATCCTCATTCAGAAAAATACACATCCTCATTCAGAAAAATCAATTGACAAAAATGGATTTTACACATCAAGAGTTCATATGTAATCTATATTCTTAAATGTCCAGGTGGATTATGCTATGTGGGGATACCATTAAATATAAAAATAAAAAAAAAGACTGAATATCCCAACATAAATACTCTATTCATTCCCCACAAGTTACCGGTTGAAGAATTTTAAAAAATATGGTCACACCGTAACCCAACTAAGATTTATGGTAATTGGTCGCATACCATGACTGAAAAGAGGGGGAAATAGGTAAAATTAAAACAAAGTGGGATGGATTTCACAACTTCATACAATCTATCCTGATGGGTTAAAGGATTAGGATTTACATTTGGTTTTATAAAGGTTTGTAAAAAATGTTTTATCCATTTTTTTTTTTTTTAAATTCGTAAAAGTAACTAGAAACACGGTTTAATTATCTCCTGAATATTAGTATCTTACACCATATTATGTTCTGAGGGGACATGATTCAGGTTTGTCCAAATCTGAACAAGTCCGAAATGTATTGATATTTATGAGTACAAAAAAATGATGAGCTGCAGGAGAGAGCGAACTGCACATGTGCAGGTGGGGAGGGAGGCTAAGAGTGCTTGTTAGTGGACACCTGTGGCCACGCATCTAGCACTGGGTGCTTCCATCCATCTGCATGACAGACTGCAAAGACAATGGTGGTGACAGAAAATGGAGAGGTAGGTGTGACGGGTGTGGCGTCAGACCCCCAGCACTCATCACCAACTTGTGACCAAGGACTAGCCAAACTAGAACCGCGCTGTCACGTGCGTAACAATGCCATGCTCAGCTGCACCCTGTACAAAGATTTTCCAGCTCACTGGACCACAATCTATGTGCTGCAGCCTGAGAGCGATTGTTACTGGGTCAGGTTAATTACGCAATTAACCCTTCACACTGCCACCACTACCTTTTTGTACGGAGAAGGAGGAAGCTCGCCAATCTTAGCATTAACACTATGATGTTTGAAGAAGCGTCTGTATACACACCATCACCGCAGGCAGATGTATGCAGAAGTTTAAAACACACAGTAGCGCTCTTCAGAGACAGGGATTTTTAGTTTGCATTAAAGAGCTTTAGAAACAGTTCAACACTTTTTAGAAAATAGGATTACTAAAAAGGTCAAAATGGTGCAATAAAAAAAAATTATACAGAAAATATATATATATATATACACACACACACACACACACAACTAATATACACACACACACACACACACATAACAATAACACACAGAGAGATAACAGAAAGAAGTTTAGAGAGGTAGAATACTTGCCTAATTCATTGGTTTAAGCAGATTCAAGTGTCCTGAACAAAAGGGTTCCTTCTCCCGAAGTTGGTTTCAGATGTTAAAAGGGAGAGTCTCTTCATCTTACTCTCTCAGGCCTGACAGCCTCTTTTTTAGTCCACCAGCAGGGGGTGTCTACTGAAGCCAAGGGCCATTCGCCTCATTTAGGGAGGGGGGTTTAGGCGGAGACCCAGGCTAGAACCAAATCCCTCCTAAGTTATACCCTGGTCAAAAACCTTCCATAGGTACATGTAGCATCCTATCCACTGGTAGGAGAATATGCAGAATGATATTCTGAACGTCCAGACACCAAATATGACATATTTGCTTGGGACAGTTAAAGAGATATCGCTTTCTGCTCTCGGGTAGACGTAATCTAGGGATGTAAGGTATCAGGTGACTCGCATTAAACTGACCTGTTGGAATATATGCGCTGTTTCATTGTACATATTTCCTGCGAGAAGTTATGAAATTATATGAAAAGTGGTTTCCAAATGAGATGTAGGTTTTACTGCTATTCCGGAATGCTTTCAAGTCCAGTGACTGACGGGTTTATAGCTTTACGATCAGCTCAGAGCAAGAGAGTCTTCCAGACACACTGGAATCAGCTAATGGGGTTTACAACCATGAAGTGTATCCAGCTGTGCCTGATGTGGTTCCTGAACTCAGCCACACCAGACCACATGCCATTCAACAAGAAGGGGGGGGGGGGGGACTGATTTGGAGAGAATGACACAAGATGGAGGATCTTTAGCAACATGGATGTCGACATCCATATCTGTACGTACAATTGCTACAGTAGGCATGTGTTTGGGGAATGAAGCACAGCATTTTAGCATATGGGGAAACACTGTGGGGAATGGCAACATTTTGGGAAGTTTGTGTAAATAATGAACTTACCCTCAAGTCTGTTGAGGACAACAAACTGCAATAGGACCTGGTGCTAGAATTAAGCGCCATTAAATATGTATACACTAAATTAGCTTATTATAGTATGCAAATCAAAATACACATTTACTCTCCCACCAAGTCAGCACTGTGCAACAAGGAGACTTACTTTCTTCTCATAGGGCAGTCTTTCATAAAGTGTCCAATTTTGCCACAAATTCTACAACATCTGTCATTGGGAGCAAGTTCACCTTCAGTCAGAACATCTGGATCAAAGAAATATTCCTATGAAAAAGAAAACCTTGTTCAAATACAGGAGTAAGTGCAAAAAATTCTAAAACACATTTTTGTGTGCAATCCTGAGGCATCTGTCATTTTGTAGCAAACAATGTGCTGCAAAAGAAAAGCATATGAAAGTATGGAGTTACACCACTTCCTCTCCATTCTCAGGTCTTAAAGCTTCGATCAGGGGGAATGGTGGTGGCTAGCTCCAAAAACACAGGGATTGCTTTTAAAGCAACAAGGCTTAAACTTTTTTTGTTGACTACTATGCTAAGATGGTCACCAAGTCAAAATATATTTACCTTTCATGATTAAAAACACATATACCCTTTTGAACACAGACTATTATGCTTTATATACACTATACACACACACCTCCCCCCACTTTTTTTCCCCCTATAAGTTTCCCTTTCTTTCCCTACCCTCCACTATTGTTTATGTGGTAAAAGGAACCCCAATAGGTAGACCCGACCTACTTTCCCCTGCTGGCTGATACAGCTTAGCATCAGCCTGCTTTATTATACACACCCCGTACCCTTTTTTTTCTCCTCATTATATATACAAACGATCTACTGCTTACACAGAATATTTGTTCCAGCCGCCCCATTCCCTGGAGAATAGGATACCTACCTCCTAGAGGATGACTATTGAAGACTTTCAGAGTTCAGAGCGTACACGTTGAATTGAAGTTCTTTATGTACCAGGCTCATCTGAACTATACTCCTGGATATAGATGTATACACTATGCTATACCCAAGATCTGTACTCTTAATAGTGACACTGTTGTAATGATTTATTTTTTCTCAAAGATATTATGGAAAAAAAAAATATATTATTTATATATTTACCATTTTAGAGCGATATTCTTTTGGAAAAATTTTCAGTGGAGTGCCGAATAACCGCCTTCCATTGATAAAAGCTTTCATTATAAAATTAGTCACTGAAAAGGAAACAGACACCAAGGGAAAAAAAAAAAAAAATAAAAATTGCCTTGTCAAATCCAGAAAGCATTACGTCAATTAACTGACATTTCTGAGCATCACAATTCCACAAAGTCATTAGATGTACAGTATACCAACACAGATGTTTGCATAAGATCACAGTGCTAAAAAAAAAAAAAAAAGCATAAAAGACGCAAGCAACTAAATAGGATCAACAAATAATAAAGTAGTATGCATTTTATTTTAGAAAAGCACTTCCCATGATGGAAATAATAAGTATCAACATTAACAACACAGTTTAAACATGGAAATATGACTTCTTAAGCAAATATTAGATTCCAACTATGAGGGTACATGTATTAGGTTAAATACCCATACCAAAGTTGCTAAAAAGGTATATGCACCACCCTATTAGTGGTCAATGTTAGCATCTGGCATTTCTGTTACTTGCAGTATTCATTTACACTAGGATGGAAAAGGGCTAGAATGATTTCAAAAGTTTCAAGCTATATATCCTAGACATCCTCTTCAATACATGCTCATCACAGTTGTCAATATACACTTTTAAGTTCCTTTAAAAAAAAAAAAAAAAAAAAAAAAAAAAAAGAAGGGGGAAATGCTTATTGGTAAGCATATTTTAAGAATACCTACTCTTTCTAGACAATCCAGCACCCAGATTGTGATTTAGGTCAAAAGGATCTATATTTAAAGACAGAAAAGAAAGTTAGAGCAGTTGTATAAGAGGCTTTTTTAAACACTATATTTAACCCCTTGACGCCAACCGCATGCAAATTAGCGGCCTCACAGAACTGGGCTTTTTTCCCCATGGGGCTGCCAATTTGCGTACCTGTCTTTCTTCTGGGAGCACGCCGCATGGCATGCTCCCAGCACAAAAACCAGGGTGTCACTGAGAGCCCCAGGTCCCGTTCTAATGATTTCAGGTCACCTGATCACTGTGATAGCCTCCGACTGGCTATCACAGTGATCAGTCACTGTGAAGCCCGCCCCCTTGTTTTCTATCTGAATAGAGGACATACATTGGGTCTGTCCTTTTGAAGAGAAAAAAAAAAAAAAAAAAAAAAAAGTGTAATAAATCAAATAAAATTAATAAAATAAACAAAAATACCTAGATCAAGATTTGATCTAGGTCTGTGCCAGGGTTAGTGTTTGGGTCAAGATGAACTTCAAAAAGGTCAAGGTCAGTTTTTTTTTTTTTTTTTGTCAGGTGTTTTTTTTTTTTTTTTTTTTTATTTTTAACCACTTCCCTACTACCCTATAGCAGAACTACTGCTACAGGGCGGCAGGGCTGCACAAAATCATGTATATATATATACACACACACACACACACACACGACACGATTTTGCATTTCTGGGTAGGGGGCACATGCGCCATTGGTGGCTTCAGATCACCGGGTCCCAGCCAGAGATTCCCTGCCGGCACCCGGCGATCGCGGAGTATCACTGACAGGGAAGAGACTTGTGTTTACACACAGGTCTCTCTCCTGCCAGCAGTAACATGCTTTTTTTTTTTTTTAGCACTGATCACTGTATTCGTGTCACTGGGGATGTCAGTGGCAGTTAGTCATTCCCCCCCCCCCCCCCCCAGTGTCAGAAAAGCCACCACAGTCCCACTAAAAGTCGCTGATCGCCATTACTAGTATATGTATGTATGTGTGTATATATATATATATATATATATATATATATATATATATATATATATTCTCCAGTATATATACACACACTGCCATTTGTAACATGAACTTTCACAAAAACCAATTTACTGTACTGGAATTTTTTTTTTTTTTAGCAAAGACGTAGCAGAATACATTTTGCCCTAAATTTATGAAGAAATTTGTCTAAATTTTTTTTTTACTGGATGTTTTATACTTTACTGGATATGTAAAAATCAAAAATAGTTTTTCCAAAATGGTTTTTGTTTATAGCACAAACAAAAACGCACAGGTGATCAAATACCACCAAAAGAAAGCTCTATTTGTGGGGGGGAAAAAAATGGCATAAAAATTTCATTTGGGTGCAGCATTGCATGACCGCGCAATTGTCAGTTAAAATAACGCAGCAACGTATAGCACAAAATGGCCAGGTCAGGAAGGGGGGTAAATCTTCTGGAAGGCAAGTGGTTAAATTAGTATCAGTTAGTGGCAGGATAATACAAACAAAATTTAAATTAAAAAAAAGAAAAAAAAAAAAAAAAAAAAAAAAAAAAAAAAAAAAAAGTTGTTTGTACGTGTAGTACAGCCCAGAAACAAAAACACACACGTGGTATCGCTGCGATAGTCAAGAGCAGGAGTAATTATTTTGGGGTTTTTTTTTGGTGGTAGGTTATGGTAGTAGCAAGAAATATACAGCTTAAATTTTATTTATTTTAAAATGTATTTTTCCTTTGGTAATAAATACATAATCAGGAGATATCCAATACCATTTACCACCAAATGAAAGGTTGTAGCTGGGCCCCCTGAACAATTTTCAGGCTCTTCTACCTAGGTTGCCTTGTGGATAATCCAGTTCTACTCCCATAGCATATCCTCCCTTTTAATAAAAAGGCTAAAATGCTTTTCTCAGCATCTGGGTTTTATTAACAATATCAGCTGTGATTGAAGATTTCCTCTGCAGCTTCACTTGCTGGTAAAGTAATGTTAGCCAGATACAGTGAAAGATTTCATGCACATATTTAAAAACTGGCCTGGACAGAGGTCCTCCAGCCTTAAGGAAAGGAAAAAAAAAAAAAAAAAAAAAAAAAAAAAAAAAAAGCAGAATGCACACGACAGTTTAAGCTAGAAATGCTATGCAGTTTATATTTTACCTTCAATGACTATGTATTTGGAAGTCCATTGCTTTTTAAAAGTGGTTATCAAGCTTTTTCTTCTGATAGAAATGACATGTTCTTTAAAATCAAAATCTTCAGTATAAAATCGAAGAAGCCCCAGCCATAGTTCACCAGGAGACTCCTTATTTTTTCCATAATCTGGCCAGTACTTTGACTTTAAAAAAAAAAAAAATGCATTAAAAACACTATAAAACAATCTGTAGAATGGATGGATGTATGTTAGTTCATAGCTCTCCTCCACTAACCCCAAGTAAGGGGGGGGGGGGGGGGGTGAAAGATGCCATCTTCCCTGCCCTGAGAGAAGTAACCCCCACTCAAAGTGCAATCCCCTCCAGTTTGGAAAGGACAACAGCATAAAATTAATAAACACAAAGAGAACAAGTCCAGTTCAAATGGTGTGGCATTTTCTGAAATCTGGGAATATCCTCGCTCAACAGTAAAATGACAGGGACTGTAGCTGCCTGAAATGTTTTGTCCCCAACTGCTGTCAAACCCAGGGTCACTTCCTCCTCGAACAGCATATTCCATACTCCATTTCTGATTTGGCCACTCCTCCTTTCTTTACAAGGCTGTCCAAGACCTGCAAGCAGCAAATCGGGAATCTGCAATTCCCCCATGCTGGAAGATACCCCAAACTTTTCATTTACTTTTTGCACATTCCTTCCTCCTGCTCTGCAGCCATGGACCACTCTTATTTCTCATTGGCACAAAATTAGTTTCTACTCCTATTCTCCACTTGCTTTTCAGTTTATTTTTTTTTTTTTTGCAAGCCCTTCAGTCACCGTTCACAAGTTTACTGTGTGCCCAGAATCCACTCTCCTTCTTCCACGTGACCATTTTTTTCATGCCTTGCTATCCTTTCCTTCTCTGCATAGGCCTTGTTTTCCCATTCAGCTGGTCCTCTGCATTGACTTCAGTTTGTGCTAATCATATCCTATTTTCAATCCCAATTTGTTTTCTGTAAAAATCACTACATTTCATAAATGCAATAATTCAAACTAGGAACATACAGTCATGGCCAAAAATATTGGCACCCTTGCATTTCTAACAGATGATGCACTACTTTGACCAGAAAATTTTGTTGCAATCACAAATGTTCAGGCATTCTCATGTTTGTATTGCCAAGACAAAGTGGAGAAACAAAAAGCCAAAGCCAAATCTGACACATTCCGCGCAAAACCCCAAAAATGGACTGGACAAAATTGGCACCTTCTCAAAATTGTAATTGCATTCCAAGATTGTGATGTTCCTGTAGTTTGTATTTAAACCCACCTGTATCAATTAACAGGGGTGCCAATATTTTTTTTGACAACGACTGTATTTACTAGCAATTAGTAAAACTACAGGCATGTGTGCAGGCTATGTACCATAAAATCCCTTTCTCTGAGTTCGACGGACACAGCTTTTCTGATTCTTGACAATAGGGTTTATAGCATAACCCACAGAAGTAGGACTAAGCAGAAAAAAACAACACACACTGTCTATAGACCTAGCTCGTATAAACCCCATATAGGCAAGCCAGTTAGTGACAGAGCAGTGTCAGAAGTAACTCTCAAAAAATAGGGGTGGGTGCCGCATCTGTCAATGAACTCAAAAAGGGATTTTTGAGTTTTGTGACTGACAAAAAGAAAAAAAATTTAAAAAAAAAAACCAAAAAAAAAAAAAAACCATTTTTGCTTACATTCAGTGACAGACACGGCTCTAATTCTTGACCACTAGGACTTCCCAAAGCGGTGTCTCAAGAGGTGAGCAAACCAAAAACAAGGAATCAAACAGCGGCCTGCAAAACCTTTAGGTCAAAAAACAGGCATCTGAAGATGCAAATAAACACATCAACTTGTAAGCATTTTATTTTTTTATTGAAAAAGTATGCCCAGATGGCCAGAAAGCTGCCTTGCAAACCTGAGACACAGACACCCAAGGTCGAAATGGCCAGAGCACTAACTGCCCTGGCAATGGGGAAGGAAGAAGCCCGGTCCTTATTGGTGTATGCCGAATCCAAATGGGATATAGTAGCTGAGGTCACCTGGCCTTTCCTTGGACTGTCTACACACACACTCCAAAACACGCACACACACACACACGGACCAGACAACATCCAAGGAGTGCAACGCAACCTCCTTAGGATGTGATGACTGGACACAAGGAAGCAGTACAATATCCGATTGGCGGTGTCAGATTTTCACCTTCGGAGGAAAGGAAATGCATGGATGGAACCGACCTTAGCTTTGTGCAAGACCAGTGAGGGAGACTCACAGGATAAGGCCGCCAGTTCCAACACCAGCTGTGCAAAAGTGATGGCGACCAAGGAAATCTGACAAAAAAAAAAAAAAAAAAAAAAGCAGAGTAATATCCCGAATACTCCCAAAAAGGAGGATTCTGGAGGAGCAAAAGAATCAAGTTTAGGTCCCATGGCGACAATGGAAAACCTGCAGGAGGCACCACAAATGACAAACCCTTTTTGCATGAAACTGCAGATAAAGGATGCCCAAAAAAAAAACAAAAAAACCACAAGAACAGAAATCTTTTTTTATAGTGGTACTCGAGTCATGCTGTTGTGCAACGCCATGTTCGAGAAAGGACAAAATCTGAGCCACCAAGAACAAACATGGACGGACATCCAGTGCCTAGCACAAGGCAACATGAGCATTCAGGTGTGATATCTTTCATAAAGCAGGGTGGTAGACTTGACCCTAAAACAGGTCTTCCCGAAGAGGCCATTGCCCGGAAGTGTCCATGACTAGCTGTACCACTTCCACATACTACCACCAACAGTGCTAGTCTTGAGCTACCAGAAGGACCGGAATGCCTTTGGCACAGCACAGCAGGCAAATGAGTAGCTTGAGAGGAAGAAAGACTTAAATATGAGGATACTGGACCCACAGTGCCACCAGTGCATCCACCAGGGGGTCCCACGCTATCGCTGCAAAGCTCAGTACCCAACTGTTGAGGAGGGATGCTAGAAGATCCACCAGAGTAGACAGACCTGAAGAACACATCCAGTTGTAGGGACCACTGCCTCTGCCAATGATGCCTGGGATGTAAATGGCAGAAACAGCCAGCATGTGCTGTTCCCTCCACCAAAAAAATGCATTGACCTCCAGTGATGCTGCCGTACTGCTCGTTTCCACCCTGGCAGATGACAGAGGCCACTGCTGTGGTGTTGTCCAATTGGACCTAAAGCCTGCAGGGAGGACTGCTTGCAATACAAGACTAGTTTTGGGAGCTTGTCAACCAGGAGCAACACTGTAGCCTGCTTTGAGTTGACAAGTGAGGCACACTCAAAATTGTACACTCCAGCCTCCTGGTCAGGGTCAGGGCAGACTTCTTGATGATCAGGACCCATTTGAAGTCCTTCAGGGAGCTTATAGTGATTTCCATGTTGTCCATCAGTGCACCCTGGGAGTCCACCTGCAAGATCAGGTTGTTCAGATAACTCATGACAGCAATCCCCTTTGTCTCAGCAATGCTAGAACTGAGACCAGCACCTTAGGGAGCAACCAGTGAACCAAGGCCAACCCTAAGGGGATTGCCAAAAAAAAAAAAAAAACAATGTGTGACCCAAACTGCAAAGTGAAGTAACTGCTGATGTCCCTTGTAGATGGGAATGTGCAGGTAAGCATCCTTGATGTCTATGGATGCCAGAAAATCCCCCTTATGAAGAAAAGCCACCAAACGGAAGGGATTCCACCTTGAACTTCTGCACCCGCAACCAAACAATTCAAGGCCATAGAGGTCCTAAAATCGGGCAAACTGTGAATGGGAGTAAAACCCCGGAACTGTTCCGGCTTGGGCACAAGGAATATTGCTCCCTGGGCAGCAGATCCTGCACTGTCCTGCATGGGGCCCGAATGCGCAATGGCGGAAGGTTTGGTCAGAACGATTGAAGGGGAAGAATTTCTCTGGTGGAAGGAGGAAAAAAAAAAAAAATCTATCCCGTAGTGAACACAACCACCTTGCAGTTCCTTGCCTGGAATGAGGGAGGTCTACAGGCCCAAGAACCAGCATAGACTACTCCCTATCATGGAAATGGGTGGAGGCCAAGCTTCATACTGAAGAGGACTTTTCCACAGGCTTGGTGGACTTGTGCGTCCAGAGCGGTTGAAGGGCTTGGAGCCCTTGTTAGAGGAGCCAGGGAAACTAAAAAGCCTCATGGGCTGTAAAAGCAGGTCCCAACCTCTGAAGCAGTTTAATCCCCATTCTTAGGCATAGGAGGAAGGTACTCTTGCCTCCCGTGAGGCTCCTGATGTCATCCAAGATATCACCAAAGAGAAGCTCCCTCAAAGGGCAGAGCCACCAAGGTCTTTTTAGAAGTCTGGTCAACAAACCAGCATTTGAGCCAAAGAACAAGCCGAAGCACCGCTGCTGAGATGAAGAGCTTGAAAAAAAAAAAAAAGAAAAGGAGCAGCATCCAAGGATGCATCACAAATGTACTTCAGACCCTGGACCAACTGGTCCGCCAGATCCACATACATCAGATCAACTTGTCCAGTGGACAAACTTGCCACAGAACCTTGGTCTATTCAGTAAGCATCTGAGACACCAGGGCTGTGGCCAACACAGGCCATAACGCCAACCCTTCAATGCTAAAAATGGAGTGGGCGATGGATGCTGCCCAGTGGTTTGCAGGATTCTCAAAGGAGGGAGACTCCTCCACTGGAATGAAGACTGCTTTATTCAAACTTGAAATAGGGGGATCCACAGGAGGCAAGGTCTGCTTCCTCAACAGGGCCTCCTCAAAAGGGGTAATGTACCAGAAAGTGCTTCAAAAAACCACAAAAGCAAGCATCGGATGTTCCAATCTTTGTAAATAAACTTGTCAAAGTAAGCGGCGTAAGGAAAAACCTTAACAGACCTAGCCAGCTTGTGTATACTAAGGGAACAGGCATGCCGTCAGCCACAGCAGAAAAGTCCCCAATTCTAAGCGTGTCTCACGCGGAAGTATTCAGTGCGGTCACCTGCTCTCTCTCCTGTGTGATTGGAGAGGCAGAGGATCCAACCTCGCTGTTTGAGGAATCAGGGGAGGCATCCTCAAGGCTGCAGTGGCTTAGCTCATCTCAGGCTCAGAAATATCTGAAGACACAAGTGGGGGGTGCTTCCTGATTGCCATGCGCCTGAACGATGCCTGCACCCAGTAGATGAAGGATCCCAAGATTGCTGGCAGCACGTCTAGTGGGTCAAAGACCCTGATAAACCTGCCACCTCCATAAGATGATCAGGAGGGGATGCTACAGCAGAGAGGGTGGTACCGCAGGGAAATCTCACCCCCATTCAACTGACAGGGGAGCACTGTGGGTGTTGACATGGATGCCGCCTGTGGATGTGGTCAGTGAGCCAGCTGTGGCTACAGCTGTGCTGACTGTGCCTCAGAGATCACATCTACCTGTCCCAGGGACAGCCCCCGTGTCCGTGGGAAATCACGGGCAAAATGGCCAGATGGCTACAAGAAAATGGCTGCCAAGGACTTCCCCAACCAGCTTCCATACAAGTCAATGGGGATCACTGGCAAGATGGCTACCGATACGTGGCTACAGGAAAATGGCGGCACACACTTCTCCAGCCAGCCCCCTTACAAGACAATGGAAAGGTCCATCATAACATGGTCACCCTTTCTGTCGACCTCAATATGGCCACTGCATCACCAGCAAAATGACCACTGGCCACAGTAAAGACTCATGGTGGCCGCAATACGACCTCCCAGACCCCTGGAGGGGACCCCCACCATGCAGAACCTCATGGGAAGGGGGGAAACAAAAAGAAAAAAAAAACCCTAAGAAGTTAGCCTAATCACAAGGGACTGGGAGGTAGGAGGAGGAGAAGGGAGCCCCAAGAGGAAATGCCAGAGGCCAGCGAGAGCAGGGAACCCCACAGGACTGACCACCCCATGAAGTACGAGTGCCCCACACCACGTCCAGGGGGGAAAAAAAAAAAAAAAAAAAAAAAGGGGGGGGGGGGCAACTACTGACCGATCCACAAAAGCATGCAGGTAAGGCTTGCAAGACACTACCACTGACACCAGTGATACTTACCTTGATACTATTGACACTCTACCACTGACACCAGTGATACTATTCCTCCTACTGACACCAATGATACTTACCTTGCTGACTCCTGCTCCAGCCTGGGCTCGCTTACCCCCCGGGCGCCCCCCCCCCTCCTACTCTACCATCTACAGCCAGCATTCCTGGCTGCGGCAGCACCACCTGCACGCTATAGACACTTACCTGTCAGCTGTCTTCCTTCTCCGGCCGCTCCCTTGCTCGATCTTCTTTGATCTTCGCGCTGCTGCTCGGCTCCTCCTCCCTCGCCGGTGATTGGCCGCCTGTGTGCCTCTCCTGAGCTACAGTTACGGCGGCCAATCACTGGCGAGGAGGCGGAGCTGTTGAGTGATCCCAGGGATGTGGCCAGATGACAGGAGCGGCATGTCATCCCGCGCACACATCGCGGTCCAGGGAAATGTGGACGTATCTGCATGTGGGCGGACCTGCCTGGAGACTGATAGAGGAGCGGTGTCTCGGTGCCTAAGACCATCGGAAATGTGTTTTCCGATGGTCTTAGGAGACCCGTGAAAGGGTTGTTCGACCTTCCGCAGAAGGGAGTTCCACACCCTTACCACTTGGACAGTAAAGAACCCCCTATGCAGTTAAAGGTTAAAACAGCTTCTCTTCAAATTTCATTGAGTGGCTGCACATCTTCCTGAAACTGAATAATTTTTTTTTTTCCCCTATGCTATGATCACCATTGAGTTATTTGTACTGTATATTACCACCACATCTCCTCTCAAGTGTCTTTTCCAGGGATTATAAGTTTAATGCTTTTAGTGGTTCCTCGTAACGGAGGTCCTCTAGTCCCCCTATTAGTTTTGTTGCCCTTCTCTGGTCAAGATTCAGAAGAGTCGTGTTAGACAATGAACATTAAGACAACCTAAATTCTTTGGGAGGTAGGGAGAAAAAAAAAAATATATCTTTTATATAGATTAAAGCACTGTTAAACGTCAACTCTTACCAAGTCATCCAGTTTGTCAAAGAAGTACACATTCCAGCCATCAACCAGTTTTTCGGGCTTATGAGCATCTAGGTTAATCTGGGAGAGAAAAAAAGAAAAAAAAAAAAAAACACCACACACATTAGCCTTTACACAAGATTTAAAATGAAAAACAGACAGACCTTCACTAAATAGTGAAAGTTACACTTCTCATACTCTCCCCCCTCCCTAACCAAAATTTGTATTTTTGTTCCTGGGAGCAGGTACCTTTTTGGACAGGTACCCACTCCCACAATTCTGTTCTAGGAGAGAATTATGTCAGCTGTAATGGGCAAAGCAGTCCAGTGAAAAGTTATTGGGAAAAAGCAAAAAAAAAATAAAAATAAATAAATGCTAGCACGTAGACTTATTGCAGTAGAGACTATATCTTTTCTGTAATAAAAACCCCTTTACTGCCTGCCAGCTATTTTCTTCTGATTGTACATTGAGCTGTGCATGTTTTGTTTAATGTTCAATCTTAGCATTCTTTGGGTGGGATGAAGTAACCCCTATGCACATGTGAGGAAGTTACGCCATGCAAGGCTCATCAATCAGAATAGTTGAAGACTTCAGACCGGGAAGATGTCCAGTCGAACAGGTCAGCAGTGGCCAAGTTAAGCATGGGGGTCTCATTGGTGGAGAGGGTGCATTGGGAGAATGTACAAATATGGCTGTGCTAGCCAGATATGTTTTCATCCTGCTTTATCACTGACTGGGTGCTCAAAATGTTAAGCATTCATTCATATTGCTTAAACTTTTTTGTCCCAAAATAAAAAAAAAGTTGGCATTTAATTTGTAACTAACATGTTTAACTGCTTCTCACCCAGCCACTGACCATAATAATATCACTCAGGGCAAGACAAGAGCCATTTGTCATTCAAAGTGTGACAGAACTGAAAATTGGCCTGGGCAGGAAGGGGTGAAACAATTTGATCTTGAAGTGGTTGAAACTACATGATCTTGTAAGATTACTCTGTCCATCTTAGTAGAATAGTTATTTGTGAGCCACCAGGAGTTAACTTACTCTATTATTAGTGTTAATTGTGTGCTTAAGTGAATATTAATTAAATATTGGATCGCCAGGCACTAATTACACCCTCTCTAGGTGTATGAAATTAAACTATGAATTCTTATACTGTACCGCGCTCCAATATTATCAACCTTTTGTGATTAACCTTTTTTGGTTGTGTGAATTTCTTAATATACCACCTATAATCCAATCATTACTTACTTCTATGGTGCTTAAATATACAATTAACATAAATTAATTTATAAATATGAATTAGAAAATTATATGTGATTATAACAAATATTAATAAAAAATTAATGAAAAATTGGAATGTCAATTCTATGTGAATAAAATAATAAAAAAATAATAAAAAATTAATAAAACATTAAAAAAAAAAAAAAAAAAAAAAAAAAAAGGGAAATGTCAATTATTTTCTTTGAATTTGAGATGGTGTTGTTATTCAATTTAGTTAATGTGATAAGTCTGTGTTGGCAGCTTGAATCTCTCCCTCGTCTCCTCTCTTTGTGCTTTCTTCACTGGCTGCTTTGTTTATTCCTCCATATACGGAACATGCAGAGAAGGGAAAAGAAACATAGTGTCTTATCCGGGATATAAGTGATTTATTGCTCTTTGATCTCCCACTCACATTGTGTAAATGTAAATAACGCTTTGAATACAATGTAACAAGATCCTGCTTCAGACAGCCTGGCTGATGTGTTTGCTTGCAGTAAATATACTCGCCGTTCCTCTGTGGATGCGTGATAACGTCACCGCCCCTCCCCTACGCGTTACGCTACAGGGACTCGTAGCTTCCTCTGGGGGATGTGGATGTGAAAAATCCACATCCCCCAGAGGAAGCTACGAGTCCCTGTAGCGTAACGCGTAGGGGAGGGGCGGTGACGTTATCACGCATCCACAGAGGAATGGCGAGTATATTTACTGCAAGCAAACACATCAGCCAGGCTGTCTGAAGCAGGATCTTGTTACATTGTATTCAAAGCGTTATTTACATTTACACAATGTGAGTGGGAGATCAAAGAGCAATAAATCACTTATATCCCGGATAAGACACTATGTTTCTTTTCCCTTCTCTGCATGTTCCGTATATGGAGGAATAAACAAAGCAGCCAGTGAAGAAAGCACAAAGAGAGGAGACGAGGGAGAGATTCAAGCTGCCAACACAGACTTATCACATTAACTAAATTGAATAACAACACCATCTCAAATTCAAAGAAAATAATTGACATTTCCTGCTTTTTTTTTTTTTTTTTTTTCAATGTTTTATTAATTTTTTATTATTTTTTTATTTTTTTTCACATAGAATTGACATTCCAATTTTTCATTAATTTTTTATTAATATTTGTTATAATCACATATAATTTTCTAATTCATATTTATAAATTAATTTATGTTAATTGTATATTTAAGCACCATAGAAGTAAGTAATGATTGGATTATAGGTGGTATATTAAGAAATTCACACAACCAAAAAAGGTTAATCACAAAAGGTTGATAATATTGGAGCGCGGTTGACAGTATAAGAATTCATAGTTTAATTACTCTGTCCATCGTTCAGCTACAGTGCTGTGCAATTTGAAAGCAGGATAAAAAACAAAATTGTCAGGAAATGGAAAAATAAAAGGATTTGTCAAAGAAAAAAAAAAAAACAAAAAACAGTGCCTGTTAATGCTAGTGACAGACTGCATCATACAGTATGTGATTTTGTTTCTATATTTTGTTCTTTATGTGATTTGACATAATTTACTAGTGTAACTGAGTAAACTTGTTTACGTCCTTTTGCAAAACATTGCCATGGGCTGCCTTTTTAGCAAAATGATACATTTCTATAAGAGAATGTACAAGCTGCCTTACCTCTTGGAGAACAGGGATAACAGGTGGATCTCTCTGTTGAAGGAAGTATAGCACCATAAGAGTATAGGCATATGAAGACAGACTGCCTCTGGAAGCATCTCCAATGTCACACACCTTCACAGAAAAGAAGAATTGCCAAGTTGGAGCTCATACAACTACTACTTTATGTACAGTAAGTAATTCAAATTACAGGCGTACCTTGGTGAACACCTTCATGATGTAACAAAGGTATTTTACTCTAGGATCTATAGCAGCATAAGATGCCAAAAGCCTAGTGTTATGAAGTGCCTAAGAGAGAAAAAGGACACATTTCCCATTTGAAAAAAAAACTCAGCGCATGTGTTACAAGCAGCTAAAAGTGCATACCTAAAAAAAAAAAAAAAAAAAAAAAAAAAAACACCTATGTGGTGTATACTCACCAGTGTGTTATATAAACTGATGTCTCCTTCAAGGCCACTTCGTACATGGTAGAATTTTACAATTGGTACTTTTGCTGTTGTAATAGGAAGGATATTCCTCAGCCCTGAATAAAAAAAAAAATCTTATTAATCTTTATCAGTTTGCAAAACATGTCTTGAGACCAGTAAAAAGGTGAGGTTATTGTGTTAATGCAAAACAGAAAGCTTCTCCTCAATCATTAAGGCAAGTGAAAGTTAATTTTGCATAGCGCACTTGCTCTACTCCTTTAGTAAACCAATTACTATATGTAGGGAATAGTCTTTGGGTGATGCAGCACTTGGGGTATTCCTATGTCAAAATTTTACAGGTTTAGAGTAAATTTTGGATACATCTGGACATATACTTTAAAGCCGAGCTCTAGGAGAAAATGTTATGGTATAGTATGTTCAATGAAAGGCCCTCGGTTTCCCTCATATTCTGTTCAAAAGACCAGTGGCCATTACGCCCTCCATCCTCTCTGTCACCAGTCTTGTACAATCCCCATGTAGTTTTAAAAGGCAGGGAGACCATCACATTGCTGCTTACTGCAGTGGGAGTACCCAAGTGTCAAACTCCCAGTCTGATCCACCCACTGTGCTGTGTAGTTAGGTTGACGGGCAAGTACACTCCTGGTCTGTCCTGCCTCCTATGACCTCACACTTTTATTGACAGACCAGGATGTGCACAGGTCAGAGAAAGCACCCCCCACCACATTACATAAAAAAAAAACAAATTGCACTGTGGACAATGCACTGGCAAAAAATAAGGGAAAGCAGAGCAGGGCACAGTCATGTGGGTGAAGTCAAAATCCTATGTGTACCACTTTTTTCATCCACCACACATCTCCACAGTCCCACCCACTCAGACTCAATCCCAGGGCATGATGGGATGTATAGTCTCCATGAGCTGCAACGAAACAGGAAGATACGTCCCTGCTTCTGAGATACTTCCTCCTGAAGCCTGGGGATTGAGGAAGATGCAGTGGAAATTGATGCCCACAGATTTTTAAATATTTAAAACAGTGAGTTTTAGACAAAAAAAAAAAAAAAAAAAAAAAAAAAAAAGTGTACAATAGTAATCAAAATCATGTCCGTGATTTTGTTTAACTGACTATTCAGGACCAATATACAGATTTAATCACCATCCCAGAGTTCTTTAAGGAATGATACTAAAGGATTAGAACAATTAAGCAAATGTTCAGCAAAGAGTTATTTTCTCAGCAAAAATATACCTTGATGTTTTCGAAGATGTCTTGCCAGTTCTTCAATCGTTCTTATCGAATCCAGAGGCTATTAAAAATCAAATAAGCAAATATTCTAAAAACAGACATAATAATCAGCTTGAATGTTTTCCACCTTTAAATAGGACCTATATTCTGTACAATTCAATTAAAAACAAAACTGAACCCATTTTATTGCCAGGTCCATATGTCATAAGGAGCTGACTGAGTGTAAAACGTCACTTCTGAGACCCCCGTCACTTTCCCCAGCCTGTATGGCTGGGGAAGAATATGAAGTGCATATGGTCTACACTGCATTAGATTAACTGGGAGGACAAGCGAGACATCAGGGGTCTTTTAGACCGCTGGCGTCTCAATAAAGAGAACCAGTAGCAAAAAAACCCCCACAATACCTCGATTGTGATGCACGTTACATTTCGCCGTGCATGCCGAAATGACAGAAATAATTTTAGCACCACAGAACCTGCCTAACGCTAAACTGATGACCTGTAGGGACCTTTAGATGTCACCTATGGAAAATATAGGATATTGAGGTTTGTTATTTCACAGGCACATGCAATTTTTAAAAAGTTTACCATGTTGGGTATCCATTTACTTGGCATAACCAAATCTTTGACCCCCGCAAAACTTGGTAATATATTGTGTTTTGTGCCCCTAAATTATTGTATTTTTTACTGAAATTTTGCATTTTCAAGACCATTAAGCGAATCTCGTGTAACAAAAAAAAAAAAAAAAAAAAAACCAAAAAAACAGGAACTACCACTATTTTATTCTCGGGGGGGGGGGGGGGTTGGCTTTCAGTAAACATATGTTTTGGTAGGGATTTTTTGCAATCTTTTTTGCACACTTAAAATAAAAGTGAAAGTGCTGGAGGGGGAAAGTGAAAAAAAAAAAAACCTTTCAATTATGTGGCTGCATAAATATGCACATCCTTAAATACTTTGCTGAAGCACCTTTTAATTTTATGACAGCAGTCTTTTGGGGTAGGAGTCCATCAGCATGGCACATCTGGCCTTGGGAGTCTTTGCCCACTCTTTCTTGCAAAAGCAGTCCGTACAAGCCTGTACGATTGCTGTGTTCGAGGCAGTGTGGCACCCATGGGACAATTTCTCCTCCCCCCGCCTTTCTGCAGATGTATAGTTCTGATGGCCACCCCACTGTAACTATATGACATTCTTATGTGTGTAACCATGCAGATCTCACCATGGATGTGCTCCTTTTTTCTCCTGTGATGTTTTTTGTATACATATGTGAAAATCAATAAAAATTGTTTATGACAAAAAAAAAAAAAAGCAGTCCAAATCTGTAAGATTACAAGGGCATTTTCTGTGCACAGTTGTATTCAGCTTATCCCACAGATTTTCAATTTGGTTCAGGTGGGCACTGGCTAGGCCATTACAAAAAACTTTGATCTCCTTTCTCATCATCTTTTTAGCAGAGATCAGAAGGTTTTGTGCCAAAATGGACTTGTATCTGAAACTGTTCCCTTCACCTTGTCTAAAGCCCCAGTTCCAGCTGAAGAAAAATAGCCCCAAAAAGCATAATGTGGCCACCACCATGCTTCTCTGTGGGTATGGTGTTTTTTTGGTGATGTGCAGTGTTGGTTTTGCACCAAACATACATTTTGGCATTAAGGCCAAAAAGTTCAATCAAGTGACAACACCACATTTTCCCACATGCTTTTGGCTTGGTCTGATTTTTTTAAATCTCAGAAACCTTTTACAAAGGGTGTGTCGACGTCTTATAGTCACAAGAAGGTTACCTCAGCTGTTTCAAGCCCATCAAATGTCAGGCAGATATCCAGGTCACTTTCTATAAATCCAAAGCCATTTTTTGAGGAACCAAACAAGTTAAGTCTTGCTCCTGTGGAACACAAACCAGGAGGGGGGAAAAAAAAAAAAAAAAAACTATAAATAAAATGTGTCAAATATCAAACATGTACACATCTCTTATTAGAAATAATTATCTGTATATAAAATGTTGCACATTTTCTACCTAGTTTGCATTAAAAGTAACGCTACAAAATTAAGAGTCCCTTCACATTTTAAGTGTCATAGTAGCGGGTTAACGCATATGTGCTCATGTGTACTGATCAATAACACACAGGGGTTGGACCTTTGTTCCTCAACACGTTCCCACCCAGCCTATAGCAGATTTACAGCGGAGTGGGACGATTCTCCTGAGTGGGCATCATATGACATCCTCTCAGAAAGCGCCATTCATGGGGCAACACAGTGATCTGCCACTGTCTGTGTCCACCAGCCTGCTGCCAGTGTCATGTGGTGCTGCGACCAATCCCAGCAGATCACATGACAATTGGAAACAATGGATGGCTTCCTTTCATGCCATCCACTGTAGAAAATTGTGTTAGCCATGATTGGTCATAGCAATCACATGGTAAAGACAGGGCCAATCACAGCCCATTTGTACCATGTGATTAGCTTTGGCCAATCACAAGACACTGAATAAATCAGTTTCATTCAGTAAAAATGTTTTTTTTTTCCATCAATTAAATACATTTGTATAAGCAAATCAATGTGCAAAGAAAAAAAAATCCTAAAATCACTTCCCGAGACTAGTACAGTGTTACCATAGTAACTGTATTGCTTTGGTCACTCTGTTCAAAAAAATAAATACAAAAAAAGGTGGTTCTCTAACATACTGTCACCAGTCCCTGATCACCGCCACGCCAGTTATAGGATAATGCTGTATTGCACTGGTGACAATGTTTAACCTCTTCCTGTCTGGCCCATGCAGATAAATGGCCGGAAGGGAGCGCTGCCAATGCGGGGGAACAGTTCTAAAAGTCACCCCCCGTATCCATTGCCTGTGCGCACTCCCTGGGAGCGCACAGCGCATCGATCTGTGCCTGCTGTATCCAGTGGAACACAGATTGCTGCGCTGAAGCTTTTGCAGCAAAATACAAAACGGTCTTGTTATTTGGAGGTTTTGGGAGGCTTGTGAAAGCTGGAACGTGCCCCTGAAACAATCTGACAATCTGGCACCATCTATCTAGGAAATGTAATGCTTACACACCAGTAGCTGTTCACACTGGCTGTCATCCACAAGTATCCCTGTGTAGCATTTGCAGGTGTGGGAGGGAGTCATGTTCTCTGGTTTGTCAGCTCTATGGAGCTGCTGGCTATTTAGGCTGTTTACAAGGCTCATTCCTTCCCAGACAAATGTGAATTAATTTACCTAATTATTTTGTTTACATTTTTTTTTTTTTGTTTCTTTTAAACTGGTTGGAAAAAAATCATAGTAAGCAAACGCATTTCAGAAAGTGGCAGAATTCACAACATCCGGCTTTAAAAGGAAACCTCCAATGAGACCATATGCAGAATGACCTACAATTGCTAGCTGTCTGACCTTCATGGGGATACAATGGCTTGAGCCACAGACGTCTTTGTTCCAGGTCAGTGCCTTAAACTAAGATATAGGAAGATAAGTGAAATGTAGCCAGGCAACTAGCTAAGGAAGACACTATCAGGCAACAAGTAATTTTAAAAGTGGACAAATTCAGCCCTGATATTTCTCTCAGTACATGTTTTTAGTTAAGCCAGTATACAATATGTGCTGCGTAGACTATCTGCATATTTACCCTGAAATTCACGTCTTATAAAATCTTCCAGATCCTGCCGTATATGTTCACGAGCTTTACCCTCTAGTGCTGATGGAGAAAAATCCGCTATGGGACAAAAAAAAAAAAAAAAAAAAAAAAAAAAAGAGCAATGGTAAGAAAGGCAATTATATTTAAAATTTAGACTTTGAAAACAAAAAACCGTGGCTGACTTATTTGATAGAATACATTCACATTGACATTGGTGATCTTCAACAGCCTACCATTGTGTGTGTGTAATATCTATCTCAAACAGCCATAAAAGGGTTTAAACAAAAGATTAGTGTATGCAAGCTTATTTATGAAACATTCAGCATTACTTACCATTTGATCCCGGTACCCTCTCTCAGGGGGTCAGAGGTCAGTTGAAGTCTGACAGTTGCTGTCCTGAAAATCTCCTGACTTCCATTTTCCCCATCTTGAGTAAGACTTGTGAGGTCAGGCAGTGGACATGGCTTCAACTGCCCGACTTCAGGTGAAAACTGATCCCTGGACAGTCACCGAAGTGAACAGCAAACAACAAATACTAACAAGACTCATCTTAGACAAATATGATCCAAGGGACAGACAATTGAATACAATAGATACAAAACATTACCTGTTGCCTGGTAACCAAATAGTCAAGATTTGATAAGACCAGAATACAGCCAAAATCTAAATGAACATGCCCTTCATTCTTGACAAAAAGGTAGAAGGGAGGTGATCATACAGCCAGAATTTCCACTCTAACACTCACCTTCTTTGAATGGATAATCTATAATCACTGCAACTGGTAATACACAGAGAAAAAAAAAAAAATTGGTCTCATCAGGTCACATCTAAAACGTAAACTCATACAAACTGGCTGGTGTATGGTTTCCTTAAAAAGGCTGTTAAGAAGCAAAACCATCTGTGTGACAAGGTCCCTATGAATGCAGTTATTGCCTTGCTCACACAATGCATACGCATTCTGTAGCAAGGCATTGAACGGGTTCAGTTCTACTGTTGCAGAAGGACTATGCAGTTAGGAAAATTACTACTTAACCTCCCTAGCGGTATGATTATTTCAGATTTTTGGTGCCGAAAGCGGTACCATTATTTTGCATGGAAATATGTAGTTTTTTTTATTGCAGGCCTGTCATTTTTAGGAGTAACTCACTGAAATCTGTCCGAACAAGAGTCTAGTAAACATTCCGGATATGATAAAACTTGAAACACGAAATCATAAATTATTTTTTAATAAATCATAAAAAAATAAATACATTTAATTCAATAATATAGATTTAATTCAATATAATCAAACCAAAAACACTGAAATTTGAAATATAGTGCCAAGTTCGCACATCACTGAGCAAAGTCTCAAAATCGGTTTCAGTGTCTGAGGACTAATTTCCCCACGAATCATTATCACTCAATTCTGCAAGTGGTTCTGATTTACTATCGCTGTTCTCTAGCTGGTCTAAAACCGATTTTGACCTAAAAAGGGACGCTTTTTGGACGCCATGGACTTTTTCCAGTTTCCAGGCAGAAAGAACAGTCAACATGCAGGCAGGGCACAGGACAAAAGCAGTAGGGACCAAATGTAAGTGAAATGCTTAGAAACAGCAATGTTTTGCTATGTAATAATAGTTTACAAAAAAATAAAATTTTTTAAAACTTTCAAATTTGCCGCCGGTTCCAGCCCCCGTTCGTCCCGACGTCACAGGGACCGGAACACAGAAGCCGGCATCGGCCGGAGGAGATAGCCGGGGACGCTGCAGGGGACACATCGTGGGAGCGAAGGACAAGGTAAGCGCTGCAGAAAATCCCTGAGCAACGCCGCATGGTAAGTCCGAGTGTTACTGCTTGTGGTACTGAAACTTTACCCCGAGCTACACTCGGGAATACCGCCAGGGAGGTAAAAATTATATCACACAAGTGTTTTGCTTAGTGATAGACACACTAAGAAACAGGTCTACAACAAGCTTTAAATTGCTATACCATGAACACCTCACCTCTATGAAAGAGGAGTTTCAGAACATACTAAAATGTTACAGTACGATATTGAGTCTACTTACTGTAACACTGCATACAAACTTGATCCAAAATTTGGCAAAACTTTGAAGTTAAAGTTGGCAAGGGTTCCAGTTCAATTTTTTTAAAGTCTTCTGGGCAGTCTTTTTTTAGATGTCCTTCTTTCTTACACAAGTTACACACGACAGTAGGCCGCTAGGTTCAAAAAATAAACACATTGTACACCAAGAATTTCAGAGAGCTGGCCTATCAAACGGTGTTTTAGGCTGCATGCAGCACTGACAACGTCGCAGTCCTTGGCCAGTTTTCAGACCTCCTTCACAAAGCCGTTTAACACAGATTCCAGCAAAAAGAATCAGCGGATTCTTGCAAGTGAAATGACAAGTCTATGCGAATAGCAGCGGACGCAACCTGTACAAAGTTTTGACAGTGGCCGTTGCTGCTTGCATGTAACCATGCATCAAGCAGTTACCTGCAGTTAGAAAGATGGCTGCCGCTATTCAAATGCACCGGTCATTCCAGCCACAAGAATCTGTCAATTCTTTCCACTAGAATCTGGTGTATGCGGCTAAATGGGCATGTGAAGGAAGCCTAAAAAGATACATTAAAATAAGCCTTTGTTCCAATTGATAAATTCTATACTGCTTTACATAAATTCACAGCTGAGCACTAGCCTTTATCAAGAATACAATATTGCAAGATAAAATTACCATGTTAAGAACCAAAATATGTTCAGATTTTTTTTCTGGAATTTAAGAGATGTGGCTTTTGTTGCACTGAATGCAAATCCTTGTATTTAATTCAATTTAGCCCTAGGGTTAAAGGGGCTGGGCATAATAGCAGGAGGTCTTGCAACTGGTGTCCTTGAACAATATAAGAAGCTAGCATGTAAGTCACCATCCCAAAACTCCCCCCCCCCATGACCTTATCAGGCTTGTACATCACAGTAACTAGATTTGGGGAAAAAAAAAACAAACAAAAAAAAAACCTGACAACCTCATGAAATGGATGAAAATTTTAGGGGGGTTGAATATTACAGCACATTCACCTTCTGCTAATTGAGCAGATCTAAACCCAAGATCTGCATATCAGGAATCTACAAAGCTATAGTTTCTTAAAAATGTTTATGAACTCTGCCTACCTATCCCATACAATATAGAATATAATTTATTCATACCTTGCCTCTGGTGAAAGTGGGCTTGCTAAATTCATAAAATAAAATAGCATCCTCAATGCCGCAGCTTTCAGTTAACAGTAATAGCTTGGGATCTTCATCTTCTAAAGTATCAGAAAGTTCTGCATTGCTTTTTTCATAATCTTTTAAAATCTTAGACACATGTTCTGTCTGCTGTTCATCTTCTGACAAGAGATCATCTGCTGAACCAGTATATGTATTCTCTAGCTCTTCATCTGCAGTAAGACTATCCAAATGCTCTCTGCGATTCAAAAGCAGGCTATTTTCTTCATCATCTTCATCCTCATCTGAATTATTCACATCTGCCAGATCAAAACTTTCGGTCACAAAATCATGTGCAGTCTCCTCTAGCTCATCAGTTCCCTCTGTGCTTTCTTCATCCAAGTCAACCTTTACAGCATACATGTCCACATTCTCCAAACCAAAGTCATGACCTTCAGCTCCCAGGTCCCCTTCAAAGTCAGAAAGGCTGTCAGTTTCTTCATTTCCTGCCAAATGAGCCTCACCACCCTCACTGTCATCATCAAAGCCATGGCCAATCAAAATGTAATCATTTTGTCGCTTTTCCTTTGGTATAGGGTGATCATTATCTGACCCGTCAGGAGCACTATTTAGATCACCACTGCTCTTGATGGCATATTGAGGGTCTGCTGTTATACAATCATCTTCAATAGTAAGTTCAGGAAGTGTGTCAAACACTAGCTTTTTATTTACTGCAACCTTTAACCTTTCACAGTGGGTCGTGCCAACGGAAGAAGTGTTCAATGTGTTGTCTGTAGCCAAATGTTCCAGTTTTTGACTTGCATCAAGAACAAGGTTGGATTGTGGTTCGCTTTCAACACCAGTTCTGCTTCCTATACCTTCCAATTCAACAACTAAAGTGGAATCAGTTGGCGGCTTCTTTGTGGATTTCTGCGATTTATTTTGTGGCATAGCAAAATATTTGTATGTAGCCTTCAAACAGTGAAGCATGAACTCAAACACTAATTGACTGTTCAAGGATCTTGCAACATTCCTCTTAACAGAGTATGGATCTACATTTTAAAAATGGAACATTGTTAGGCTTTTTACGACGTATATCAGGTGCTGTTTAAGACCAGAAAAGCAATATTACCTTCCACAGCAATACGTTTTTTGGGCCAGTCTTTCAGTTCCCTAGATATTTTCTCCTTAACACGAACACTGATGACAAAGTCGCCCATATTGAACTCCAAAGCATAAAATCTTAACAGGTCAACCCACAGCTGACCAACAGAGGCAGAACATGGTTTGTCAGGAAAGATGACTGGAGCCTGCAAAAATGATCAAGTACATGCCTATTAGAATCAACGTGGTTCTTTGGTGCCCTAGAGCACATACATGTGAATTAATGATATTGCACTCTTATGGCAACAATGGGCACTTGCACATTGGCAATAGGCAGGATTATATCCTCATGCACACAGGGCGTTTGCCCAGCTCTCCTAAACACCTTTCCTCTGGCAACAAAAAACACAAATTTGACAGCTGTAAACGTGTCTAAGTAAGTTTAGGTACGTTACCATTTGCCCTCCCAAGGAATTACCCCCCTTTCTGACCAGGCCATTTTTTGCGTTATGGCATTGCGTTACTTTAACTGACAATTGTCAACGCTGTACATAAATAAAATTTATGCCATTTTTTTCCCTAAAAATGGAGCTCTCTTTTCGGTGCTTTTTGATCACCAATGCGGTTTTTATTTTTTACTATATAGAAACAAAAGAAAAAAGACCCAACAATTTTGAAAAAAAAAAAAAAAAAAAAACCCTCAAATTCCTTCATGAATTTAGGACAAAATTTATTCTTCTACAGGTCTTTGCTAAAAAAACAAAACAAAAAAAAAAAAAAAAAAACACACGTGTAAATTAAATTGTTTACATGAAAAAAGTTATAGCATCTACAAAATGGTGGTACATATACTGGAATTTAATTTTTTTTTATAAAAGTAATGGAGGCGATCTGCAAGTTACAGCGGGACTGCAGTGGGCATTCGACACTGGGTGAGAACTGTATGACTAACTCCCACTGACACGAATACAGTGATCAGTGCTAATAAAAAGCACTGACACTGAACTAATGACACTGGTTAGGAAGGGTTTAAAATCTGGGGTGATCAAAGGGTTAACTGTGTGCTACTATGGAGACATGCTGCTTTGCATTTCTCTGCTGAAATACAAAGCAGCATGTCCTTGCTGACAGGAGAGAGACCTGTGTTCACACACAAGTCTCTCCCCTGTCAGCTTTACCCGATCGCCGGCTGATTGACATCCTTAGCGGCCAATAGTGGCACAGCTAGGGCGGCGTGTGTGCGCCCCCTACCCGGAAAAGCAAATCACGTATATATTACGCAATTTTGTGCAGCCCTACAGCAGTACTACTATAGGACAGCGAGAAAGTGGTTAATAGAATTTCACCGATGGTAACCATTTAAAGCAAAACTATACTTACCTTTGATCCAGCGATGCTGCGTCCCAGATCTCCCCGGGCCTCATTCGCCGTCACTGGGTGAGTGGGAATTATGTCACTCCCAAATTTGTACATAGAGCTGCGTGGGCAGACAGGTAAGTAAGCAACTTTAACGCAGAAGAAAACTAAGCATGTCTCTTCTGCAATAAAATTCCTGCCTGTTGGCTTTATTTTTTACTTTTGGACCAAAAATTCAATTTTAAAAAGTAGGATTATTGCAATCTTTATAGCAAGAGTTTTTTTTTTTTTTTTTTTTTTTTTTTAATTACTTTCCTGCTGAATGTCAGTTAGTGCTAACAAAACCACTTACCTTTCCTTTTAACTGGCATTGCTCATTTAGGACACTCTCTCCATTTCCAGCAGCAGTCTGTGTCCAAATCACAAACTCTTTCTCAAGCTCTCCCAAGTTAAACTGCCCCAATTTGGACATCGAAAAGCCGTCAATCTGAAATAGAAAATTTAAGCCCTTTTTAAATCTTGGGTTCAGTTTTTAAAAGCCTTTTTGGCGGTGGGTCAAAACAATTTACTATACATACAGCTAGGGAACTAACTGCCAGGCTTTTAATTCTCTACTCTTTACATAAAGTGAGACTTTAGCACAGAACCACTTTTTTCAATCACAGACTCTAGTTCTCTCTCATCTGTGATTTAAAGTTCTTTTTACAACACTAAAGCAAGTTTATTGGATTTCGGAGTTGCACATGAAAATTATAGCAAGGTGCATTTCAGTCATTTAAAGCTGAACTCCAAGGAAAAACAATAAATAAAATTACAAATTTTTGCAGCTCTGTATTAACAAATTAGTAAATGGTTTGTGTGTAAATATTGCAATATTTGTTTTTTCACTTGGAGACATAAAATGTGACACATTTATAAAGTAATCATTTAAATTTTTTAAGAGCAGCAAGTTCTATACACAATATTATACACACTAAGGGGGAGATTTACTAATTTGCTTAGAATCTGGTGCAGCTGTGCACAGTAGCCGATCAGCTTCTAACTTCAACTTGTTAAATTAAACAAGGGAAAAAAAAATACAAATAAAAAAAAAAAAAAAAAAAAAAAAAAAAAAAAAACACGGATGTAAACTGATGATCATCCATTTACATCTGCTAGTCAATAGAAGTACATGGCTGTCAGTTTTTCATCTGTAAATGCACAGATGAAAAAAAAACGGACATATGGCACGCCTGTGTGAAAGGGGCCTGCTGGTTTCTATGCAGAGCTGCACCCGATTTTGCAAGCTCCAGTTTTAGCAAATTTCCCCCAAAGTGTGCTTGCTGCTTATTATTGTTCTTAATGCACACATGTTTTATCTATAAACCCAGTGGCACATTTTCTCATTTGATATGGTTTCTATTTTCTATTGTGAAAAACACATGGGTTAGAGATTTGCAAATCAATGCATTCTGCTTTTATGTAGAATTTACACAGCGTCCAAACCTTTTTTGCAATTGGGGTTGTATAATAAAGTAACTGACTACAGTCTCTGTACAACAGAGCTCAGACAGAGGGAGAAACAGCAAAAGGAACCAGTCTGGTGAGGTGCATTGCTCATGTGCCAACAAGAGACATCTGATATAGGAGAACAGAGTAAGAGAATGGAGCTCATCAGTCTGCTACTTCCTACCTCTAACTACCCTGTAAGTGTGACTGAACTGCAGCAGATTAAAATCAGTTCTTCCTTTCTTTCAGACAGAAAGTACTGAGTGGAATTACTTTAAATTTCAAGACATACTTTTGTGGATAATACAGATCCAGTATATGCATTTCATCAGTCATAAATGCATTTAATCTGTGCACACAGCATTAAATATTCATAAGCCTGATGTGGTTTTCTACAGTAATTCTAGATCGCCTAGATCACCAACACCCTGGAATTTTAAGAATCTGATTAAAAAGTACATGTAAACCCCCACCTCCACCTTTAAATGTAAGACAACCCATTCAGATTAAAATAGAAATGAAGGCAAAACATTTGTGTATTCATATCATAAATACACCCCTCCCTTTTTTTAATAAGAAATCACATACCCTTTGGTCTCAGCTGCATAAGGAGCTTGCAGAAAACAGCAGTATACTGATCTTCCCAGTGAATGGCTGTGCGGGGGGGGGGGGGTCAGCACATGCACGAACATTGAATTAGATCCCAGCACAACCAGAAAACTGTGTACGCTGTGCTTTCATGCCTATTATGGTCAGTTTTTTTTAATAGGAAAACAGAGTGACTGGCAGGAACGCCAGAGATTTCACACAAAGGAAGCAAGAACAGGATATATTTTCATACAAGTACATGGAGCAGCAGGCAAACATTCAGAATATGAAATATTGGGTTTACATCTTCTTTCCGAAGTGACAGTACATACCCATGATCCCAAATAGACAGGTAGAACAGACTCTTTTCTTTGTTGAAGGAAGAACACAACCATGAGAGCAAGTACATATGGCGGTAAGCCCCCTTCTTCAGGTCTGTCTATGCCACAGAGCTGCAAAGTGTTTAAAGAGTGTTAAAATACTAAAATACAAAAGAAAAGGAACAAGAAAAAAAAAAAAAAAAAAAAAAAAAAAAAAAAGAATACTTGAAACCTCTTATGTCCAAAGAGTCCTCTGATACTGAACATACACTGCTTTTAGGCTTCCATTAGTCTGTCTGTTTTGCCAAACCCAATGCCATCTCACAAAATAACCTAACACTATTGGACACTGAGGACATATCGCACAGTTCCTATGACACTTATAAATGCTTAGTAAAATGTAAATGCTCCTTGAAGGCAGATTTTAAGCCAGAGTGGGAGGTGACTAAAGAGTCACTTTTTTTTATATAAATAAGGAGAGCAAATTGCTACTCTCACATTACATTTTAAAATGGGTACAGAAAAATAATACATACAGATCAATTAGGAGAAAGCACAACAGGCTTGACCAACTATAGGAGACTACGTAAATAGGAAAGCAGGACACTCTCACAAACACATTTTAAAAGATGATAATCCTTATAGATTCATTTTACAGAAAGGACATATTTTGTGCATATTGAAAGACAATAGAGCTGCCATTGGTGACCTCTACATCTGAAAATGCCAACAGTCTGACAAAGTTTAACCCTAAAGTCAAGTCACCTGAAACAAAACAATTTAAAGTCAGAGTGCAGTTTAATACATTAGATACCTGCTGGTAGCTTCAGGGCTCTTGGAGGAATCTACATGGTGTGACCTTATGTGCAGTCATGTTTAGATACCTACAGTTTAGGACAAGTGAAAACTAACAGTTATGGGCAGTGTTTTTCCCAGGACCTGTTATTTTTTTTCTTTTGCCTGGCTCTCAGTTTTCAGCAGCCACCTGGCAAAAAAACCTGCATAGCCTCCTTTGTGAGACCAGGACTGCAACAGTTAGATACAAGATTGAAAGTAGTGCAGACTGGTGCTACTGTAAGAACACAGAAGTAGTCGGCTCTAAACACTTCCAGATTTGAGTCTTCAGAACTCCTGCAGTAGAGCAAAATTAACAAGCAGCTCTGAGACAATGTGTCCATTATCTGGGTGGACTGGAGGCATCAGGTGTCACAACCCCACTACTATCACATAGCTGGATTCTCCTCTGTATGTAGCACAAAAATTATTACTTCTGATCTTCTGTGTTTACTTTGAAAAAACCTTTCAATAAAAACTTATTGATACAAAAAAAAAAAAAAACAATGTTGTGCGACACATTAGGTATCCCTACGCGTGACCGAGAGGCAGACTTTTTAGAGCGATCAATAAGGTTTAACCCTAAATTGATACGCTTTAAAAGGTTTTCTAAAAAATTACACTTTGGTCATATTATACATCTGGTGAAATTTCCAAGACCAGTGCATACTTTAAAGTTTTACTAAATCCATCAGTAATAAAATGTAATAACTTGTTAAGGCTGAAGCAAACATAAAACCAACAGTAAAAATAACTTTCCACTATTTTCATTATCGATTAGTTGGCCTGCATAGAGAATGCAATATTTTTATTTACATATCAGTATACACAGTGCAGCACACATACAGGTCAGTACACCATCCATACAGGTCAGCAAGTGCCTGAGAACTTCTGAATGTATGTGAGGAACAATGACTCATGGTACAAGTAGTCCTGGGCAGGAGAAGGAAGTGATGCAACAGCTCTGTGCAGTAAAATCAGCATATGAACCCAGAGGCAAATTAGGGCATTACAATTATTTGTAATATATATTGGTTATATCCATGGAGGGAAAAAAAAAAAAAAAAAAAAAAAAAAAAAAAAGGTCACAGCCTTTATCTCCTTAAAAAACATAAAAACAAAAAACACTTATTCTCTCCCCCCCCACCCTGCTTCAGATCCGCCTACCAGTTAAAATACCCCGATCTACATTTTCATATATTACTTCCATTGTTTCACAGTATAAATGAATGACCCCTTATAGCCGTGATTTAAAGCCAAGCTGCAGATTGGCTTTTAAACTATAAAGGGTAATTTTTGGTTTTAATTACATCATGACAGGTGATACAAAAAGCAAGCTGTTGCTAATTAAAGAGGAGCGTCTCCTCCCCACAAAAAAACATTGAGTCAGCAGCTACAAATAAACAAATTCTGGGAGACCAGCAGAAAAGCGTTGCGCACTGCACTTTGTGAATGGGCACAGTCTTCTGGAACCGGTGAAGTGTCCCAGAAGGCTGTGGGGGAAGGATGGGCGAACTGACCCAGAGGTGGGATCAGGTACCTGTCAAAACTAGGTACCGGTTCTCCCCCCAGCCACCCAAAAGGTGGCAAATGTGGCAGCGGTGGGGGAGGAGGCAGACAAGCAGAGCTTTCCCTTTTGGGTGGAGCTCTGCTTTAATGTCTTAGTGACAGCAGTAGCAGGTAGCTTGTATCAAGCTACCAATCTATGACCATGGACTTCATCATGCACACCATATCACAGTCCTGTCTGCAAATCAGTATTTCAGGTCTTTATTTTTTTCTTATTCAAAAGAAATAGTCAAAGGAAAAAAACTGCAAAACAGTAAGAGCATTTACCTTTGCCCAGTGTCTAAAAGCCACAACCAGAGGTATGAGCCTTGATTCCAATAAGCCCAAAGTAGCGAGCAGGTTGGTGGTGAGACAAGCATTTTCATTGCCTGCACTTACTTTGCAAAGACGACCACTATTGGGAAGCATGAAGAAAAAAAGGTTAAGAGTTAAATAGATTAGTAAATCTGATACTGTACATACTGTACCTGTTTTAAAGGTTACACCTGTGTGCAGCCAAAAACACTGGAAGATGCACTATGCAAAACAGCATATTTGATCCTAAGAGTTCTGGCATATCCCCCAGTTTTTTTTTTGTTTTTTTTTTTAGTAAAAATCTCACTTCTGGAACAGAAGATGAGGGGTGAACCTCTGTTCATCAGCAGAACAGGATGAGAAGCGAAAAAATGTGCCCAAATGGAAGGATCATGGGCCAGACAGAAAGCTGCACAGTCTACCAGCTGAAGAAGCTAGGGCAGTTCAGCCACAATATTGTGGCCCTTATTTAGGGCAAAAAGAGACAGTTTATCAAATGAGTCATCCTTTTTGCCTAGACTACAGCTTTAATATCAAATCACATTTTACCAATACATTTCAGAATTGTTGAAAGATGTACAAAAAGTGTTCTAACCTCCTCTTTTCTGCACAAACCACAACAGGCACTCTTGCATGGAAGTCAGCATCAAAGTCTATGAACAAATCTAGAATTGTAAAAATGGATATACAGGTTAGATAAAAACCCCACACATGTAAAAGGAAACAAGTCTAATTTCTCTCAAAACAAATCTGCCCCAGGCCTAATAAACAACACCTAAGGATTCTACAGTACATACGAACTGGGTTGAACACATTTCCTATTTTTGATGCATTGACTAGAAGGGGCACAATGACAATTTTTAAAGTGAACTAATCCTATATTTTACTGGGGGTGGGAGAAATAGTTTTGCTGTTGATTTATCATCGTAAAACAAACCAAACAACCAACCACAAACCAAACAACCAACCACAAACCAAACAACCAACCACAAACCAAACAACCAACCACAAACCAAACAACCAACCACAAACCAAACAAAAAACTTATGAGAGTATGGGAGGCAACACTGAATAGTTCTGACTTAAAGTGGCCTGTGAGGGAGAAAGGAAAGCATACACTATCCTTGCAAGTTAACTCCCTGGAAGCAGAGTTTGTCCTGCACACTAAAGCTTTTTAAACCTGGAATGCATGAAGGTATAAAACCTTCAGCCTTTAGAACCACTTCAATTTTCAGACTAAATTTTTACTTTAATATAGAACTGAACTTCAGTTCTCACTGCAGGGCCAGCAGGGGAACAGATGCTGCATCAGATTAATGCTGCATCCATCTAGGGAAGCATAAATGTTTGCCCATACTTCTCTTTAAATATGAATTGCTCCAAACCAGCCTAATCATTTGATTTGGCTGCCTAGCACTACAGTGGACCTAAAATTGTATCTGCTGCCTTTTATTTGTTACAGGGCACTGTGGTATGCTGAAACACAGGTGCGTGGGTGTGAATAGGTTACCCCAGCACAAACATGTAAACAGACCCTAACTGAGAGCCATACACAGTTTAGTGTACAATCTCAGCATGCCGTAAGTTCTGGTAAGCTGAGGAGATATGTCATCCCCTAGACTGCCAAACAGATGAGGCTGAATAAATACTCTGGACCCTCAAGACTACTTACCACTCTGTTTCAGGCTATCTTGAACTAATAAGAGAACATCCGGCTGATTCATCTTAAAAAGAAAAAGGAAGGATACGTTTGCAAAAAGGAGCTTAAAGAAATAATGCACGTTCATTAATTCACATATATACACATGTATATATCACCAACTTTATGTAAAATTAACTGTACAATGGAGGATGCCATATTTTGTTTATTACACACCTAAACTTTCTCACAATGGGAGTCAGCTAACTCACTGAAAAAGCACTATTTGATATGTTGTACAAACATTAGCCTGCAGGGACCCTATCATGAGAAAATTAGAGGCTGCCATTACTGGCTTTTCCTTCTCAAAATGCAAAAAATGACCAGGGTGTTGTGTTGACACCCTTGCTTCAATACTTTGGCTTACAAAACAAGCACAACTATAAGGACTTGTGGCACTTTCCTGACAGTCAACCTGGGTCAGTGACTGAAACCATTACAGTGGCAGAAACTGTTTTATTGTCGTTCACCAAATTCTAAAATATGGCGGCTGCATTTGTGGTTCTCACTCCTTCCCCTTCCCTTTATTTTCCCCCATTGATTCAGCCAGTAAGTATTATAGTTCAACTTGCTTTACCGAGTTGTCCAGTACAAACGGCAAATACTTACCTCCATACCAACAATCTGACATCCACAGGATCCATCGACAGCATCAACATCTTCCTTCTGTCTTTTGGGTGCAGAGCCTTCAGCCCTTTTGATTGACTGGTGAGGATGATGCAACTCCTGCACACATTCTCTCCATTACACAGGCACCATGCAGAGAATTTATCCTAAGCTGCACATGAGCAGTTCAGTGTACACCGTGAAGAAGATAAGCAAGTTTATTTTATTGCAGAAAAGACATAACAAGTCTCTGAGATAAATAGCTTGCCTGTTCGCAGTTGGTTGTTTTACCTTTAGTTCTGCTTTAACACTGTCAGGGGTGCTTACAATGGTAAGATTTCATTCATGTAAAGCATTTCTCCCAAATGGGTGTCTGTAGGGAGTGGTGGAGGGGCTGGCTGATGCTATAACTTTTTAAAAAAATTTTTAGCAGGTGTTTGACTGTAATTTGTTAGTCAAGTTCATCTAAATCTGCTATTGCATCCATATTTCCCTGAGAATTTATAGGCAAGAAGTTGGGGTCAAATACAGAACTCCCATGGTGAAATATACACATCTCTTTACCCATTGCAGTTCTAGCAACGTACCCGTACATCGCTGGAGTTTGAGCCGTTGTACCAGAATGATGCCTGCTACTGCAGCCATCATCCTGGTATTGTTTGGTGCCGACGGTCAGTGTTAAAATCAAGTACCGGCTTCCCATCTCCTCCTCAAAATGGCCATTTCTTGACCAGGAGTGGGGGAGGAGGTCTTAAAGTGCAACTTTCCTTTTGAGTGGAGCTCTGCTTTTAACACACACTATATCTTTTTAGTGAAAAATTGTAATGTCGCTATTCTTCAAATAACACCCCCCCCCCAAAAAAAAAACACCAAAAAACAAAGACGGGTGGCTTGTACAGTAAGTGATCACTGTGAAAGCCAGTCACAGGCTATCACAGTGATCAGGTACCGTGCTCCTAATTACTGATCATTCGTACAAGTCCCAGAGCGGTCCATGATAGCTCAGTCTCTATGCTAGAAGTACACTGTGCAGAGCGCGCTCTGCACACAGTGTCACATATATACAACCCAACGGATAAAGATCTACTTTCATGAGGCCACATATATGCATACGCTCGGTGGGAAGGTGTCAGATATGGATTCCAAATACAAAATTGCACAAAAAATATTCAGTCTCGCAATACACACTTCAAATAAGTGCTCATTTGAAATACTTTCCCTCAAAACCCCGATACCCTGTAACCCTGTAGCCAAATAATTCACCTCAAAAAAAAAAAAAAAAAAAAAAAATCTTACCATGAGATATGTGCATGTAACATATTTTAGGCATGGTAAGGTTAAAGAGAAAAAAAAAAAAAAAAAAAAAAAAAAAAGGCTCCTTCACCTATACATCCAAAAGCCAAGAGACTTCAACCTTGGCTGTGGTGTCATCAGTGCCAGCAGTCTCAGAGCTGTCATTCAAATGAGAGTCTAGTCTACAGTATTCCCCTTCACCCCTTCCCTGACAGCTTCATAAAAAATTCTGTAGGGAGGAGATAAAAATGAAGCCAACACAATGGCGTGCATTTTTTATTCCCTCGCAATGTGCCCTTGGACTTGCTGGAGAAAATGATTAGTCAGTTCCCTAGCACAGCTCTAACCTTTGTGGGTGTCCAATTACTTTTTGATGTGCAATAAAAAAAAAAAAAAAAAATCTGCATAGCAGTTAGTTGATCAACACTGCATTAGGGTCTACAGAAGGAGATGATACTCATGTTTCTTTCCTTTAATGATCTGTGCCACCTAGTGGCCAGAATGCAATATTACCCTCAGTCACACATTTGATCTGCAGAGCATATAGCCGGAGAACATTTTTACCCATTTGCATTGAAAAAATTCACAGGCAGTTTTGATGAAAAGCTGTGCAAATGTTTTTCTAAACACGCCCTGATGAAATTTAATATAACATGGCGTCAGATCATATTCAGAATGGATACTGGAGTTCTTCCCAACTTGTTTTGTTCTTGAGTTTTCTTGTTTTTCTATCCACTGATGAGAAAGGATATTGATCCTCATTTTGCAGATCAACATTAATATGTTAATTGATTCATTGCTTCCATGGAAGGAAAAAAAAAAAAACAACACACACCATACACACAAAACGGACAGGTCTACACTTTCCTTTCTGAGATTGTAAGCAGACTGGCTACCTTTTGTTCTGAATTAGAGTAATTATATTAGTCAGATACCAATCTAAAAGGTTACTTACACTGGCAGGAAACTGAATATCTATGTTCAGATCAGAATTTTTAAATCCCGTTCTGCTGCAGGAGGATCCATACAGCCTAAGAGAGCAGCCTGTGAATGTAAAACAGTCAGAATATAAAAATAGAAAAAAAAAAAAAATAATGAACGTCACACATCAAGCAAACTTAACAAACCTGGAAGATTCTCCTGAATAAGTGTTTCCATTGCAGACACAGTGGATAGCCTTTCTACCAAGTCTTCTTCATCCAAGCCATGTTCCTGCACCACTTTATTAATCGCTATTCCAATAGCTTGCAGTTGCGATTCATTTGGTGGCGGAAGAGTGGTCAATAACTCCTCTTCCCTTTTTTCCTACAAAACAAAGATTTGTGAGAGCTATACATTACATGGATCAGCATTTTATGAAATCATTCATACGGACCAATTAGGACTGGTCTTATGTAAAAGGTTTAACATATTTAAATCTAGGAATACACACACACAAACACACCTTTCCCTTTTGTAGCATCAGAAGTCATCAGGTGGAAAACACTACATAGATATTGGTATAAGGAAGCAATCTTTAGTTATCCACTATGCAGGGGTACAGGCCTTCCAGTAGGGCTTCTACATTTCTTAACAGAAAAGAACACTGCAATGATCTTCTAGAGAAGGGGGGTCTCCCAACTTTCTAAACAAAGGGGGCAGTTTGTCCTTCAGATTTTTTTTTTTGCAGACTGTAGCCACTGGGAGTAGAAAAGGTTGTGATGTCAGTGGGTGAAAAAAAAAACCAAAAAAACAAAAAAAAAAAACAAAACCAATACCCCATTGTTGGTATCAGTGAGAGGATTTGTGTCCTGTTGGTGAACTGTGTCCTACTGTTGGTGGGGGGAGGGTGCCCCATCATTGGTGTCATTGGGCCCGACTGTTTGGGTCATTGGGAGGAATTGTGCTCCATTGTGAGGAATTGTGCCCCTTCATTGGTATCATGAGGGAGGTATTCATCCCTATTGTTGGTATCAGTGGATGAAATAGTACCTCAAGGACTGGATAAGAGCAAGCAAAGGGCTGCAGTTTGGAGACCACTAAAGCGTGCAAAAAAAAAAAAAAAAGTGAGCCACCATAGCCTAAGCACATGTTCTCATACTGTGGAACACAAACAGCATCCTTTGTTAAATAAAATCACTGAATTCCTGCCTGGGATTTCCCAGATGGTGAGGGCAGTTTAGAAACGCTTATCACACAGTACATACTAGTGATGCAAAGTGGGAGGCAGTTCCTGTCATTCTCCCCTAGAAAAAGACGCTTGTTCCCATGTGTACATTGTGCAAATCATGGATACAATTGTGGCAATATTACCTTACTAAAGGCTGTTCAGTGCCTTCTCAGGTGTCGCAAAAAAAAAAAAAAAAAAAAAAAAAAAAAAAAAAAAAACAGTGAACTTGCTTACCCTTAAATTCCTCTTGTGCCTCTTCTCTTTTATGTGTTTGTGTGCAGAAGATATAGAATCCACAAGAGCATCGCAAAGTTTACAACAATAGATCGCTGTCGGATACTTTCGAGGACGCTGAAAGACAAAAATCTGCTCAATTTCCAAGCCGTATACAGTAAATATTTATGCATACCAGAAGTAATGGACCAAATTGTTCACTAGCTGTAAAATAAAAAAACCACCACACTGCTGCATTCAGAATTTTAGAAGAATTTTTAGTATAAAAGTGTCAGAAAATAGGACACTAGAAATGAATCTTGGCGATTGGCATAGACTATCCTTTAACTTGTGTTCACCATACATAAATACCTCCATTACTGAAGCAAAATCAGGCGTTACTTCAATGATACCCATTTCCCACAAGAATCAGTCTCGAAAACCTTTCTTAATTGCTTTAGAGGTATGCAAGTAGAGAGGCACAGATTTGCACATTTGGACATGCCCAAAAAGGTTAAAAGATTTTGGATCCGCATATACAAATTCATGTTGACTCAAATCAACCTTAGAAAAAGCGCCAAACCGTGGAAAAGGCACAAGACACTAGACAATTGATTTCATTCAGATTTATAGCATTCTAGGACATGCTCATAACCCCACCCACCCCTCTGCCTTCTGTGGCCCTTCCTTATTGCAACATAAAAACTGGAGTTTGTCAGAGGGCTGGGGCTTGTGCCCTGTACTGACAAGGATAAAAAGGTATTTACACACAAGTCAAAATCCCCATCATCCTAATTGTACAATACTTTTATAATAGACCATGAGATTGGACATCCCAAATCAATTAGCAGGGGGTGGCCAGCAACATGGCAAAACTGAAATGTCTCACACCCAAAACAAAATAGAGTCAGGTTTAGCAGTACTCAGCCATTTCATTTGTAGTTTTGTATTCTCTGAATGAATACAAAAAGCTTCCTCTGATTGGCCGAGTTGGAGATCATGACATCTTCCCTCTGCCTCAGACAATTAAAGCCAAAAGCTGCCTATGAATGGTAGAGTGTGGCTCAGCCGGACTATCCTGTTTCAAGTGCAAGACAGAAAGGACCTGTCTCAGCCAGAACAAAAGGCTATATACCTGTATGTAGCTGAGGCTACATAAAGCTCATACAGGGTACCCAGTGGGTATACTGCTTGGTGTAGAAAATTGTTTGGGACAGATTGGCCTAAGAAAACTAGTTAAAAAGGCATAGTAAACCTGGAATTTCACTTTAAGGTCAGGTTCACACTTGTGCGGTGCACCACATGTGATCCACGCAGAAATTGCAGCGCATTCCTGTGCACATCACATTCAATGCCTGTGCTGTGCGATGTTAACCATACATTTTGTAAGGCTCAAATCACATTGAATTTACACCAAAATGGCGCTAGACCATTTTTTTTCTCCCCAGCACCTGAATCGCATTCAGACCCATGCGATCGCATTTCTGGGAACTACACTGCATTTTGCAAACTGTTTTGGGGTGTCATTAATTTAACAGGGACACCCACACCAGATTGCAAGGACACCATGTGATTGCAATGCGGTGCAGGAAACGCACTGCATTTGCGGTGCTTCCCGCATCGCATTAGTGTGAACCAAGTCTAAGGGTGTAGCCTTGGAAATGGTGGAGTAGGAGACAGAATGTCCGCTATGAGAGTCTACAGGAATGACAAGACAGGAAAGAAAGTTTTGCAAAAAGAAGCCATGGCTGCCAGGTAGATCCCAACAGCCCTGACTTAATCCAAGCAGTGTAAGAACATTTCCTTGATGTGTTTTGGAGCAGGACAGAGGGAAGGGAGGACAATATCCTCATTGAAGTGGAAAGAGGCCATCTTGGGCAGAGAAGATCTTGATCTCAAGACCACCTTGTCCATGCGCAATACAAGAAAAGGCTCTTTACAAGAAAGAGCTGCCAGCTAAGAAATATGGTAGATAGGTATGTGGGAGATAAACACATGAATGCATTCATATGCAATCTTAACCATTTAATTCATTTTACAATAAAGGTTGACTTTTAATATTTATATTATATCCATTCTAGGCCGATACTTTTTAATACAATTATAATATGAATGTGTGTAGTTTAAGCAGTGGGTTTTTTTTTTATTCAGTGTAAAGTTAGTTTCATGTGGAATTGACCTCATCTCCTGCTCAATATTTTCATGCAGCCTTTATAATGAATGACTTTCCCAACTCTAGGGCAGAGCTGGAGATCCACCACGTCAGGGAGATATTTGGTTGAAAAGATGCACAGGATGATACAAGGTGTGGATCTGTTTGGGTCTAACTCCGCATCCTCACATCATAGAACAGAGAGAAACTGGTAACCAGTAGTGCCTAAAGTAGGTCATTAGTTTCAAAAAGGCACCCCTAAGTTCTTTTGTGCAAGAAAGAGTTCTTTGTGTCCACATGTGGGACCATAGAACAAAGCTTTTTTGAATAGTTCTTACTTGATCTGTGCCCCAGATTACACCCAAAGTCTCCAGAGAATGAGAATATTCAACTTTGGAAAGTTGAATAACCAACCAAAAGGTTTGCAGAACTAAATTGTCCTTTGGTTGTTTTGCAGACAAGGTTGTGGTTTAAAAAAATGTTAACATCTATTGCTTACAAACTGACTTTGGGGGTTGGGGGACTGTGGCAGGGCCCCACAATAGCATGGTTAAAACAAGAAAAATGACTGGGACTGCATGGTTCCCTCTTCTATCATTGGGGGTAGTCTAGTTTTTGTTGAGGTTGACCATCCCAATTCATTTTGTTTTTTATAATGCTCTATTCTGGCTCCACATGTGCAGGGTATTACACTCACCAGAAAAAACAAAAAAAACACCTGCTAGGTGAATCCTATGCACAATAAATAACTGGAGAAAAACAAAAACAAAAAAAAACAAACAAAAAAACAGTCATACACAGGACAGACAAACCGGAAACTGTCTTTTTTCACAGAAGTTTGAGTCTAAAACAAGCACACTGTGTCTAATGGTAGTACTTTCAGTATGCGGCGTGGGGTTACAGAGGTACAAAAGGTAACTTGAGACATGAAGCTGACCAGGCGATTAAGATTAGATATTCACTGAATGACAGAAATCCTGAACAGGCAGCCTAGATTTATAAAGTTCATATAGGCAGCATTCTTCGACCACTACAACTACTGTAATAGAAAGAAAGGCCCAGACAGACAAGAATAATGGTTGCTTCAAATCTTCAGGAAAGTGGAAAAGTAGTGACCACACCTAAAGCATGAACACCACCCTTCTTCAGAAAAGGAAATCCAATGAAACCTTAAACCAAGGCTAGGCAACCATAAAAAGGCACCATTACTTCAAGCCAAGTTAATTGTTGACATTCAATATGCTTCAGATGTACATCCCATTAGGGATACGGGCATTTTCTAAACTGTATACATGAACCAATTGTAATCTGTATATATGTTACCTTTGTGCCCGATTTCTCAATAAAAATTGTTTTTGGGAAAAAAAAAAAAAGGGGCACCATGAAGAACAGTGTATTGCAGTAGTGCATACCCCCCCCTTCCCCTCTTCCCCCCCACCACAGCAGTTTTCTTTTTCATCCCCCCCCCCCCCAATTAGTGTCATCTGCCCATCACATCAACACCCCTATACAGACATCCTAGTTCCTAGCTTTTCTCCCTTACAAATGTACAGGACAGAGTGAGAGGCAGCACAGTTCTGGGTGAAGGGCAAGAGCTGCCAGTTACGTTTTCATATTAACAATCTGGTGATAGGTTTCTAAGACCATCCAGTGTCCTAGCAACCAGTTACCTGCTGATCAACTTGAAAGGTTAACTGCGGCAGCTCCGGATCCCGCCCTCTGTCCAGGACTGTGCTGCCACTCACTTTCTGCTCAGCTGTGAGGATGAGGATAGCAGAGGCTGAGAGGAAAGACTGACAAAGCAGGGACGTGTTCTTGATCTACCCATCACCTGCCAGTGGTTGAAGGGCAGGTCATGATCAATGGGTTGCTGACCCTGGCCTTAAAATAAGGACTAAAAAACTATGAACTTGCACTAAGTAAAAACAGTTGATCATATGATCCCAAAAATAAGTAGACAGGTATCACAGCCAGGCTATTTTAAGAAAGTGAAACACAATACTGTCTAAAGCGTATACTTGGTGTATGTGTCTCATACCCTTCTCAGTCTGTAAATACAATCTCTCTTTAGGCGTTCCTCCGCTTGCTGAAGCCCTAGCAGCTCCTTTTCAGACAAGGTGGATTCATCTATGACGGGGCTTTCTAGGCAGTCATCCTCTTCCTGCTCAGACTTGCGGAGACGTCTGTCACGTTTTTGTTTATGACGTGTCACTGAAATACAAAATAAATGCGTAATACCTCACACGTGAGGAGATCACTGTTTATATACAGACCTGGGACAGACAGGTGCGTTTGACTTTGCAAGCAAGCAGGGAGCGTAAAAAAAAAAAAAAAAGTAAAAAATTTTTAAATTTTATTTGAATTTTTTTGCTATTTTTACAGTCTATACATTTTTTATTGCCATCACAAGGAATGAACAACATCCATTGTGATAGTCATTTCAGTAACCGTGCCTTTTACTGAGCGATCTGGGATCTATTAGACCCCAGATTTCTCCACTGCCCAAAAAAGGCAATTGATCACACCAAGATGTGATTAGATACTTTCCCAAGCCATCCAGTCACGTCTGGTTTCTTATATTATAGAGATAATAGAGATGATCATGGAAGATCTGGTCCCTGATCACCTCTATGGTAAGCAGACGGAACTGCCAACTTCAATCCCAGGCTCACCTTTGGGATGAGAGAGCAAGAAAAAACTAAAAGGTCACACCATACTAAGCAATATTAGTGCGGCGAACTTCCCCCGTTGAGCTATTGTGTTCTGACAGGGTGGGCGCTGCCTCCGCACCAAAAGACACTGATCAGCACTCAAAGCCATTGGTTGCAAGCGCTGATTGGATGCTGGTTTTCCAGCAAGCCTATTCATTTAAAGTCAGTGATTAGACCGGCTTCTGTCAGACAGACTGCTGTACATGAGCGCCGAATGTCAGCCAGTTTCTGCTGAACTGGCCAATACTCGGACCATGTGTACTAGCCTTAATTAGCCACTAGGATTGCTTTTACATGGGAAAAAAAAAAAAAAAAAGATCCCTGTAACTGCAGGTATCATCCCAGTATAACCACCTTAGGCTGGAGGTGTAAAGGTATGTTAGCTGGTCTTAAGGTGGTTAATCTGCTTACATTTTACTCATTGTGTTCTTTCCACTGTTTCTTGGTAAGAGAATTTTTAAAATAAATCCTGGTTGATGAGGACTGACAAAACTAGAACCCAGTGAATGTAGGTAAGGGACATTTCAACTGGGAGGAAAAAGCTAGATGATGCTGGATGTCCTCCAGCCAGGAAATGAGGCCAACTGCATTTTACTTTCTGCAACTTCAAATGCACACCTCACAGTGTATTCAGAGAAAGCAATTTTAGCACAGAACTTGAAACCCCCTTTCATGTGATTTTAAAGGCAACCATAAGAAAACAAGCTATGTATTTATAAAAGCACTCTTATTAACCATATCATTATGTAAAAGGGTTGTTAACCACTTGACTGACCTTCCTGACCAGGCCATTTTTTGCGTTACAGAGTTGCGTTACCTTAACTGACAATTGACCAGTCATGCAACACTGCACCCAAATTAAATTTACGTCCTTTTTTTCCCACGAATTGAGCGTTCGGTGGCATTTCATAGCCTGTGCAGTTTTTATTTTTTGTGCTATAAAAAAAAAAAAAAAAAAAACACGACAATTTTGAGATAAAAAAAAAAAAACCAATATTATTGACTGTGTTTGCTATCAAACATGTCCAAAGAAAAGGAAAAAAAAAAAATCAAATTTCATTATAAAATTTTAGGCCAAAATGTATTCTGCTACATGCCTTTGCTAAATAAAAAAAAAATCCCAATACATGTAAATTAATTGGTTTATGTTATTGCATTTACAAATGGCGGTAAAGAGTTATATATATATATATATATATATATATATATATATATATATATATACATATACATATACATATACATATACACACACACACACACACACACTTTTTTTTTTATTATTTTTTTTTTTAACATGCTGTCACCAGTCTGTGTCCCTGATCACCGCCACACCAGTCATATGAAAAATGTTTTTATATTTTTTCATTTTCAAAAAAAAAAAAAAAAAAAAAAACGTTCAAAAAAATTGATTGGCCATGCTTACCAAATACTATGTACTTTCCAAAGAGGGGTCATTTGTACTGTCCTGGCATTTTAGGGGCCTCAAGAAATGATAGGTCATCAGTACATCAGGACTGATCAATTTTCAAAACACACACACACACACACACACACACACACACACACACTAGTTTGTAGAAGCTATAGCTTTCGCACAAACCGATATACACTTATTGGGATTTTTTTTTTGTACCAAAAACATAGCAGAATACAATTTATGAAGAAATTTGACTTTAAATATTTTTTTTTAATGGATAACTTATTGCAGAAAGTAGAAAATATCAGAATTTTCGGTCTTTTTTGTTTAGATCAAAAAAAAAAAAAAAAAAAAAAAAACCCAGTGGTGACCATGACTAAAAGAAAGCTCTATGTGTGTGAAAAAATTTGGATAAATTTAATTTGTGTACAGCATTGCATGACTGCACAATCGCCAGTTAAAGTAGCACAGTGCTGAACTGTAAAAAAATGGCCTGGTCAGGAAGGGGGTAAAATCTTCTGCAGCGGAGGTGGATATAGATACCTGCAGCAACTTTCATTATACTCTGCTTTGCCCAAATGCCAAGTGTTATCAGGCAAATATCTGGCACTTCTGAAAAACTCTGGGTTTAACCTCTGAATGCCTACACTATTTTCATTTTTAAAGTCTCTCCTGAAACCATCACGTTTGGCCAGTTCTAACTATACATGTCTGACAGGTAGGCTTATGTTTGATTTTCTAGTGCTCCTCCATTAAAATTAAACAGATTACCAGAAATGCCAGTGTGATCGGAAGCATCTTCTGGAAAGGCACCTTTCTGCATTGGAGATCTTCCCAACTGGTTACGTCGCTCCCCAGTGTCCTGCCACCTATAGCCATCACCTTTGTCACTAGTTGAATCATTCCTTGTTCTGTTAAAAGCCTGTGGTCGTCTATTCCTCCAGTTATCACAGTTACTTCTCTGCTCTTCCGCTAACCACCGGTTTCCTTCATCTTTATGATTAGTACCTGTTCGCCCCCCCGGGCTGAAACTTTTGAGCGTGTTCTGAGAAGTCCCATTTCGGGGACTGCTGCTGTAAGGAATAGGCTTAGATTTTTGAGTATCTAGCTTCTTTCCATGGCATTCATGAGCCAAATAGGATTGCTTTCCAGGACTTCTTTTAAAATCCTCTTCATCCATTAAACCTCTGTTTTTGACTCGCTTGGCAGCATCTCCCATTTTCAAAAGTCAGTCAGTCTAAGATCATGCCAGAAAAAAAAAAAAAAATAGAAACAGTTTCTTCGTTACTATGCACTTTTACACAACATGCACATATGACATACATAGCGACAAAAGAACAGCTAAATTATAAAAGGTAATTAATACAAAGGTCCTCCGACACCTTGTGTACATCTTTCATTAAATGACTCAAGTCTAGGGCTGCAATTAATGATTATGTTCATAAGTGATTGGCTGGCAGATTAATTAGATAAAAACCCTCAAAAAAAAAAAAAACAAAAAAAAAAAAAAAAAAAAAAACAAACAAAATTTGGTGTATAACTAAGTAAAAAAAACAAAAAACACACACACACACCAATTTATTCTTAAATATCTCTATGTGGTAGTAAATATAAAAATAACCATCTATATGGTTAGCAAACAAAACAAGTGACATACTGTCACTTAAGCCTCGTACACAGTTTTTTTTTTTGTTATTTCAACCCAGCACGCTGAATGAAAAAGAAAAAAAAAAAAAAAAAAAACACAGATTGCTGTACTAACTATGCAGTGTTAGTGCTGTGATCTCTCCCGCTGTGCATTTCACGCTCCCAATGTAAAAAAATGACTTTCAAATTGTAAAAACTACTCCACATGGAAATTTTTAAAATTTTTCCAAAAAAGTCTTTTTCCAAAAGGAAAAAAAAAAACAAAAAAAAACACACACACATATATATATATATATATCTTCAAAATTTCTGGAAATGTTACATCTCTAGTGTATAGGCCTGAACCTGTCATCACTAAGGCTAGGTTCACATTTGTGTGGGTGGTGCCTCTGCGGCAGGAGGGGCAAAACGCGTTGACGTAATTTCCGGTTTTCGAACCATGACGTGTGACGTCACGTCCAGTGAGTGGAACGCACGCATTCCGTGGCCATATTTGATGTGGGCAAGACAGGCTAAATTCCCTGATTGCTGCCAGTTCATTTCTCTCCATGCTAATATGATCATTATACATGCCATAATGGATTTTCAGCTTGTCTGAAAGAAATCTATCAAAGGCTTGTTTTACTCTTATAAAATTATTTTTCCATATTGCACTCACACTTTAAATTAAAGGCTTTATACATTATTATGCTATTTGGCTCTCCCTCCATTTTTCTTTGCATCCACCATCCATCCATGATTGAGAGTTTGCAGATTACCAGGGAAGGATTGCTGGGGGTCATTTGAGAGGATTTCATGTCCATCTGAGTGTGCAATTGAATTTTTAAATGTGAGTGTAATGGTGAACATTAGCTCTATTTTTTAGTTTATGCAGTATCACACGATTTGTTTTTTCTTTTTTCCCCTCTTTCGTCCACTTGTGAGGAATTGTTCCAAAAATATTGAAGATTTTGGAGATTCGTTCAGTGTTATACAGTTGTGGAGATCTCATCTCGCCTCCAAAGTCTGTGTCTGATTCCTAAAGCCATTACCGACTTAGAAATCACCTGATTGGGCGAGTGTGGGTGAATATTGGAATCACTACAGGTGATTTGAACACGTTGGGAATTATATATTTTGTAGCAAGTTTTTTTGAAACGCGAGTCTCTATTTGGGACTTATTTTTCATTTTTTGTTTGTTTTTATGTTTTTTTCATCTTTTGAGCAGCATTCTTTGATTGTGTGTTTTCTTTGGCGCAGGTTATTTCACATTTTTTCTGTTATTAAAAAATGACTTTAACCACTTGCCATCCACCCTATAGCAGAAGTAATGATACAGAACAGCACGGCTGTGCAAAATCACGTATATATACACGTGATTTGCATTTCCGGGTAGCACCACCCTACCTGCACTGCTATTGGTGGCTGGGGATGTTAATCACCAGGTCCCGGCAGGTGATTCCCAGCTGGAACTCTGTCAGCAAACATGACAGGGCAGAGAGCTGTGTAAACACAGGTCTCTTTCCTGTCAGCATGGACATGCTGCTTTGTATCTCTCTGAACAGCATGTTGAGAGATACAAAGCAGCATGTTTTCCAAATAAATTAGCACACAGTTAACCCTTTGATCGCCCCAGATGTTAACCCCTTCCTGTCCAGTGTCATTAGTACAGTGTCAGTGCTTTTTCTTAGCACTGATCACTGTATTAGTGTCACTGGGAAAGTCAGTGGTAGTTAGTTCCCACCCAGTGTAAGAATGCCCGCCGCAATCCTGCTAAAAGTCGCTGATCACCACCATTACTAGTATTTAAAAAAAAAAAAAAAAAAAAAAAAAAAAGACAGCCAGTACCTTGCATTCCACCCACTGGAGAGCACAGGAGGCCTCCAGCTGCTGTGGCCATCAACCAGATCTCCCGAAATTCCAGGCAGCGATCAGAAGCTCCAGCAAGCACTTTCCCTCCCAGCCATATTTTGTGATCACAGTCTCATGTACCAGAAGGAATGGCTTTCCTGTTCAAAGAGAGGGGACCACCTGCTCCAATGCAGAGATATACGAGGTGTGCTGCACAGCACTACACTGCACAGCACAGGGTAATGCAAATTTAGATCAGCTCATGGGGGGAGATCACTGATGGGGGGGGCACAGTCTCTGATGTGGGTGCTGCTTCTGATTGAGTGCTGCTTTGAAGGAGTGCGATGCAGTTAAACACAGCAGTCTAATTATGCCTTCTCTACTTTCACAGGTAAATGCATCTATCTCCTATCTCCGCTCTTAACTAGAAAAAACGCATTGACTCCTGTTAAATTCAGAACAAATGGTGTATTTATATTTGTGTGTATGTTGACCAGTCCTCACCTCTAGCTGCACCCAGTTTATGACTGTAGCCTGTTCCCTGTGAAACATCCCACCACTACTCATGTGATCCTTATCAGCTTCTATTTGGGGTGGAGTTGAATGCTCATTTGAGCATCTCCCTATAAATTTAGATCAGCTCATGGGGAGAGATCACTGATGGGGGGGCACAGTCTCTGATGGGGGTGCTGCTTCTGATTGAGTGCTGCTTTGAAGGAGTGCGATGCAGTTAAACACAGCAGTTGAACTAAAGCAGGAGAACCTAAGCAGCAGGAAGACACAACAACAGCAAGAAACTCTACTGCATGCTGGACAGACTGCAAGCAATCACCCTGGGAAACCTCTCTTACATACCTGAGTCCCACTCTGTGTACCTTTATATAATACGCCCCCTCTTCTCCTTATCTTATTACTATCCTCTGTTCCCAAATCTCATTTCTTTACCCCTCTGCTCCACCCCAAAACTTGTACATCTCCCCCTCATTGCTATCATCTCCCTACTATTGCTCTCATCACCTCCCCAAAATGCCTCTTCCACTCCTCATTTTTTCCTCTCCTCAGTTCCCAAAATCCATTCACTATATCCCTCTGCTCCTCCCAAACATTTGTATATTGTGTCCTCACTGCTTCTATAAAAAATAAAACTATATATAATAAAAGGATAAATAAAGGTAAAAAAGAAAAAAAAAAAGCTTCACCCCTCTACGGCACCCACCACCTCCTATTACTCCACTCTCCCACTGACCCGAACACCTCCACTAGTAGTTTCTCACGCTCCTGCACATCCCGCTCCCATGCCACCTTTCTCACCCTTCTCCTCCTAACCACGGGGGACATCTCCCCGAATCCTGGCACTCCACCACCTCCCTCACCCGCACAACACCCTCCCGCCTCCATGTCCTGCCGCAACCCCCGTAACTTAGTATCTGTCCCCCTGCTCCCTAAAATCTCCCCCCCGTTTTCATGTGCACTCCTGAACGCCCGATCGGTGTGCAACAAGCTTACCGCCACCCACGACCTCTTTGTTTCCCGCTCCCTCAACCTCCTAGCGATCACAGACACCTGGATCCAGCCCACTGACTACCTCCCCTGCTGCACTCTCCTACGGAGGTCTCACCTGGACCCATTCACCCAGGCCTAACGGTCGTAAAGGTGGTGGGGTTGGTCTGCTCCTGTCACCGCAGAGCACCTTCCGAGTCCTCCCAAACCCCCCCCCCCCCTATCCTCCTCCTTCGAGGCCCATTGCGGCCGACTATTCTCCCCAACCCCCCTGAAGATTGCTGTGATATACCGGCTTCCTGGATGACTTCTCCTCCTGGCTACCCTTCTTCCACTCCTCTGAGCTAGCCACCATCATCCTTGGGGATTTCAACATCCCTGTCAACCTTGACAACCCAGACACATCCCATCTCCTCTACTTAACCTCCTCCTTTGCACTTGCACAGTGCATACAATCCACCACCCACTCCAACGGTAATATCCTTGATCTCATCTTCTCCAACTGCTGCGCTCCCCACAACCTCACTAACACCCCCTTCCTTCTCTCTGACCATAACCTGATTACCTTCTCTATCTCCTCGTCCTCCAATGCCTACCCCTCCAAATGTCACACTACTACCAGCCGTAACCTCCGCAACCTTAACCCTGCCCCCCTCCACTCTGCAGCTGATCAACTCCACGACAGCATCCTCATCCTCCCCCTGTCCTGCCCCGACTTGGCTATGACTGCCTAAAACAACGCGCTGTCAACAGCCCTTGACTCACTAGCGCCTTTAACTACACGCAACATCAGACCCCGACCGCTCCAGCCCTGGCAGACTGATCACACCAAAACCCTCAAAACGACACAGTCGTGCCCTGGAGCGACTATGGCGCAAAACAAAATCCCAACAAGACTTCACCCGCTACAAATCTGCCTTCCACACCTACACCTCCTCCCTCCACGCAGCCAAACAAGCCTACTTCCTGACCCTCATCAAGGCCCTCTCCTCCAATCCTCGCCGACTCTTCTCCACCTTCAACTCTCTACTCTCTCCACCCCCACCTCCACCCAGCACCTCACTCACTGCCCTTGAGATTGCCAATCACTTCAAAAACAAGATTGACACAATTCGAAAAGGACATCGCCGCAACTCACACGCCCTCTCAACCCGTCCCCTCTCACACAGCTACCCCCTCATCCCCCCTCTCCCTCGACATAACCCGCAGGGACTTCATCGCTGCTGAAACTCCCTCCAACCC